TTTTTGGGTTTCTTTTTGGCTCTTGAAAAACATTTTTTTAATTTTTTAAAAATTATATTCGGGTTTTTTTCAAAATTATATAAATTGGTTTTATATTCAGAAATTTTTCATACAGCTTGTCTGCTTATAATAAAATTGTGAGTGTAAAGTTATTACATTTAGTTGTCTCTTTCCAAAATAAGCACACACTATAAATATAGATCGAACCTGGGTATTTAAGCCAAACAGTCCTGGCTCCTGTTACAGTATGTTTACTTTTTAGAGATTAATCGCCTTGTTGGCTACATTAAAAAAGTATACGAATACAGTATATATTTTTGTCATCTCTAAATAAGAACAAGGTCCTTTATTCACATGTCTTTATTATGATGAACAATGACCACGGTCAATCTGAAATGAACATAAAACATATTAAAGATAAATGACTAAGCTAATGTTAATTGAACAATTGTATAAGTAAATGTTTATAATCCTCTATCTCCCCCTAAGTTTTTAAACGGCCTTCTAATATGTCTTTCATGCATAGGTCGGTTTAAAACTGAAGTCAAAACATTTGATAACAAATTAACATCCGAAATTATAGGTCCATGAACACTAAACTCCTGTTAGCATTTGAAAAACGGAAACTTCAAAAACAATTAAATGTATGTTCATAATTTTATATAGGTAATGATAACACTAGTTCATCTCGAAATCACGGTGCCATGTTGGCGGTTGACGGGTACGACTAGATTTGCGTTGCTCCAAATTTGGCATGGAGGTGACCTGTGATGGAGAGTTTGTGCTATCACTGGGAGGTGGGATCTCAGCTGGATGATTTTTGGTGTTGCCGAGATCAGTCGGAAGGCATTCCGGGGCATCAACATCCAAATGAGTGTTAGGGGTGTGACCACTTGGTGAAGGTAAAGTGGTTGATGGGAGGGTACAATATGTGTTCGGATTTTGCGTTGTTGGAATAGTGTCCTGGTTGTGTTTCACAATGGTCTCAGACGCTTTAGTTGTCTGAGGGCTGACAAGAGGTACAAACTGATTCCAAGTTTCATCATCCTTAATTGTACGGACTTCTGGCAAACTTCTGACAGGCACATATTGTCTCAAAAATTTTCGGTTTCTTAGTGTGACCCTACCAGAGCCATCAACTCTAACGACGTATTGGTCGAATTGGCGAACTTCTATGATAACGCCAGTTTTATCCCATTTAAGAGGGTGATGTCCTGTTTGATTTTGGATGCGAACCCTATCGCCTACAGAGAGTGGGAGTAGTCTTTTAGTGTGCTCCGATAAGCGCTCTCCCTGTTTAAGGTGGCGATGTCTGAAAGCTTCCTCTCTTGCATCAAGTGTTTCCTTCCATGTGTTATGGGGACGGTACCTGCCGGGCGGAACAGGAATGAAGTCTCTGATGGGATGACCAAATACACATGTAGCAGGAGATAACTTGGTGTCTCTGTCAGGTGTGTTCCTGTACTGGAGCATCGCACGTTGAAATACATCGGTGTTGAGATCCCCGTTTCTACCTGTGTTGTCGGCTATTAGACGCTTGTCAGTTTTGACACCTATTTCAGCTCTGCAATTACTGTGTGGGAAAGCCACAGAGGAAAGGCGGTGATGGACTTCCCAATTTTTTAAGAATTGTCTGGTTGTTGTTGCCGTAAATTCAGGTCCGCCATCAGATGTCAATTCATTCGGAATCCCAAATGTCACAAATGTTCGGCGTAGTGAAGTAATAAGGCCCTCTGCACCATTCGAAGATCGTTCAACTATGGGCCAGTTCGAGTATCGATCAACTATAACTAAATATCCAACACCTTGATGGTGAAAATAATATGCACAAACACATTGGAATGGGTAGTCTGGAGATATTAGGGGTGTAGGCGGAGCACTAGGATTCGAAGGTGCGATACGATTGCAGTGATTGCATCCAGCTCGAAGGGTTGTTATAGCAGGTGTGATCCCTGGCCAAAACACGGAGGACTCTGCTCGCGATACCATGGAGGTAATTCCTTGATGTGCTGAATGAAGAGCTGCAAGAACTTCTTGTCTGAGAGCTGGAGGAATTACTACACGATCCTTGTATAGTATTACACCATCTACTGTGTAGAGATGCTCACGGAATTGAAAATACTCACGAAGATGTGCAGGAAATTCTTTGCGAGACTCAGGTACTCCGCATTCTATAAGGTTTCAGGAGTTCATGCATGTTATCGTCACTACTTGTGGCAGTGCGAACTCTGTCCCAGGTGACTGCTTTCACGGCAAGTGAGTCAAGTGAGCATACGGCTGAAGCGGAGATACAGGTATCAACATCATTGTCATTGAGAATAGAATATGTTGATGGCAATGTAGGTAGGAGAACATGTCTCAGAGAAGGTACATTGTTAATTGTTGCAATATCATCTTGAAGCGATAGCTTTTCAGATTTTCCGGTTGGATGACGTGATACTCCATCTGCAGCGAGATGCTTGACCCCTGGAATATGAATCATGCGGAATCGATAGCGGAGGGACTTTTCTTTCAAGTTTCTGAGACGTGAGTTAGAAATGTCCTCCAATGATCTGTCACCAAATATTTTTAACAGGGGTTTATGGTCAACTGCTATTACGAGATCGTCACATCCAAGAACAAAGTATCTTGCTTTATCAAGAGCATCGACAACTGCCAACGCTTCACCTTCCACTGGTGCATATCGAGACTCAGCTGCATGCGTGAACCTACTCCCGACAAGTGTTACCTTCCAACCGGTGCGACAACAAAATGGCTGGTTGTCCGGACAGTTGCAATGTTTCTGGAACAGCCAGAACCCGATTCCTGACTTCGACCAATCAGTGGCGAGACATGTAGGTTTTGTCTTGTCAAAGATTCGCACGCCTTCTTCAATTTCATTGATAATGGCAGTTTTAGATTCCTCGAAGAGTGCATTAATATTGACATCCCAGATGAACGGTGTACCTGGTTTCAATAACTCTCGGAATGGTAGCATTTTGTCTGTCATGCTGAAAGCATACGATACTTGGTTTACTAAACCGAACCAAGATCTGACATCGGTGATATTTCTCGGAGTTGGGAAGTCCATAATTGCGCTAAGATATCTTGTACAAGGGCGAACTGTGTCGGGGGTTATTGCAAACCCAGCGAATTCAACCGTGTCTTCTGCGAAACAAAACTTTTCAGGGTTGAGTGTGATGCCATGTCTTCCACATATGTCAAGCCATTGGACAGCTTGGAAGAAACTCTCATCTATTGAATCAGACCAGAGAAGGACATCATCGATACATTTAGTTTTGTTGGGTATTTCGGCAACTATTTCATCATATCGTCGAGTATATCCGTCGCCAGAAGCAATGTATCCTTGAGGGGCTGTTTTATAGCGATAGCGTCCCCAAGGAGTGATGAACGTAGTTAAGTGACGGTCAGATTCTTGAATCGGCACACTGTGGTACCCGTTCCAGGCATCAAAGACGGTTTTCTTTTTCCCTTGTGGGACTGACCTTGCTTGGTGAAATGGCGAAGGAGTGTGATGCGTTTCTCTCTTAGCGTGTACATTGAGAGGCTGAAAATCAACTGTTCGTCGAGGTGTGCCATTTTTCTTGGCACATACAACCATCCGATGGCACCAAGTCACTGGTTCCCCAACAGGGACTGGTTCAAGGACACCAAGGCGGATGTCTTGGTCGAATCCAGCTTTAACTTCCTCTTCCCAATGTAATGGTACTGGCACTGGTGTATGATGAACGACAGGTTCAGCATTTGGATTGATCATCAACTTCATTGGCGGTCCATCCATTAGCGGTAATGGTTGGTGGTCACAGACATTGAATGTACTTGATTTGTAGTACTCCAAGAGGTATGCCTTTAGTTTAAGGCGGTTGGACTCACTTCCACTGTATGGTAACCTTGTAGGTGGCGGAGGTGGTAGTTGACGTTTCGGACAGTCACATTGATTCACTAGTCCGCTTATGCTTCCGACTTCACTGTTGTTGGTATCCTGAGTTTGATACATTGCTTCGGATTGTGTGTCGTAGATTTCACCAATTGTCGGAAAACTTCCAGATATCATGCCAAGTGCGATGCATGCTTCCCTACTGATGAAGAGCTTATCGGAATTATCAGTTACATATGTCATTTGCCTAGTCTCTAGAAGGTTCCCTTGCTCATCTGTTCCTGAGATCCGAAAGATTGTGGCACCGAGGATTTTAATGCCCCTGTTATTTGCAGCGTTCATTTTCAAAGTTACAGGAATGAGATCGCTTTGCTTGAGGCCAAGTTTGTGGATGACTTTGATACCCGCAAGACAGCTTTGACATCCAGTGTCTGCCATGGCAGGAATACGAACAGCGTGTGTTCCAGCATTTAGGTTAAAACCAAAGGCTTCATAGTCCTCGGGTAATGCTCTGATTGTAAGAGTAATGAATGGTTGCGATTTGGAAGGTTTCTTTATCCAAGTATCAGATAAGTTGTCATATAGGTGGTGGTCTAAAGCTAATGTCTTGTCAATGTGTTTTTTAGACATTGATGATACACTGCACAAGGTGTTGAACACAGCATTCTCATAGTCATTGGCATTGTAAGCACTAGATTTCGCTTTCGGTTTGTCCCTACTTCGGCAAACACTCTCAAAGTGGTTTTCACGATTACAGTGTTCACATCTTTGCCCGTAAGCTGGACATTCTGATTTTCTTGCACGGGCAGGAGCGTTTTTACCATGTCCTTTCTTGCCACAGTATGAGCAAGTTTCGTTTTTATCTTTTACAGCGGTTTGTTTCGCCTTTCTATATGAACTACTGGCTGCTGCTTGGACCTCATGAGAGTCTAATAGTCGGGAGGCAGATCGTTTTCCAGACTCTTTAGCTTCGACAAATTGTGCTACTTCTTCTAATGACATATCCTGATTCTTATCACCAAGGAGATCTAATTGTATTTCCGGGTCACATATGCCGCGTGCCAATACGTCTCTGACTATTGTGTCAGTGTAATTAACATCAGCGTTGCATGTTGGACACTTTATCAGGAATTTGCAGACACTAGCCTGTCCTCTAAGTCGTGCACAGAAACGGCGTACAGGCTCATCACGATCTTGACGCATGTTGTGCAGGGAAACTCGGGCTACCATAGTGTTTTCTTCTCGAACTGCCAGTTTTTTTATTTCAGCCATCACTTCTTCTTCAGACTTGTTAGTAAGACTGCCGCCAGCTGATCGTGTTAAGTCTTTCCGAAGTTGTTCGTCACAGCATTCTAAAAGCTGTACCACGCGATCACGGCCTTTGATTTTAGTGGCATCTACATAGTCAGACCATCGAGATTGGAAATATGCCCATTCTTCACTTGTTCCTGCTGTTGCTAGTGTGGGTCTTCTAACTTTTTCTACTTTGGCAGTCTGTCCAGGAGCGTGTGTGGTACAGTGAGCGGTTATGAGTGCGGCAACGATGGCGGCCTCAAGGTCGTCCGTGACATAATCACAGCCTGGTATTGGACATCCTACTGCTGGCATTTTGATCTGTTCTTAGAAAAATGTCTTTCACAAATGTACTGGTATTTTGAATCTCTGGCCGTGGTCATAAATAAGAACAAGGTCCATTTATTCATATGTCTTTATTATGATGAACAATGACCACGGTCAATCTGAAATGAACATAAAACATATTAAAGATAAATGACTAAGCTAATGTTAATTGAACAATTGTATAAGTAAATGTTTATAATCCTCTAATCTCAAGACGTCGAGAAAATTGCAGTTAAATAACATCAATTGAAATAGTTTACAAAACTTTGATATTTTTTTGTTTCCTTTATTTCATTTTTCAACAAAAAAAAAAAAAAAAAAAAAAAAATGAAACTAAATGATTTTTTCTTCAAACGCCTCCATTTTAAAGGTTTACAGACACTTCACCCCCAGAGGCGTTTGGAGAAAAAAATCATTTAGTGAGTAAAGTATGTAAGGGATCTATTGGGAGGGAAACCTTATATGATTCCTACAATGCAGAATTACCGTCTGAATGCAAGTGTTGTATTGTTTTGAAAAGTGTACATCTTATCTCTAGATAATTAGTGTCTACCGTCTGTGGAGGCCTTAACTCGATTAAAGTTGGATGTAGTAGAACATGTTCTTCTCTCAAATGACTTATTCTAATCAACTGGTCCATACTAACGTTTCCGGGAAAATACACCGATTTTATAAATTATTGTTGTTTTATTATTATTTTAAGGATATAGCAAATATGTTTCGTGCATTATATGATTATAAAACTGATATGCAAAAATATCTATCGTTTGTGACTGGTGATCAATTTACAGTACTTGACAGTTCACAAAAAGATTGGTATTTTGCCCAGAATGGGTTTGGTGAGATTGGATTTATTCCGAAGAATTTCGTTGTGAAAGATCAGGTTAGTCAAGCTAGATGATAAGATCCATTAAAAGTTTTGTAAATTTAATGACACCATAAACAAGACAAAATTATTAACAGTTTTTCTATCTTTTTTTTAAGTATTTAGGCATCGTAAATTCAATAACTTATTAAGTCACAGAATAGAATAAAGGGGCAGCACGAAATACCCAAATATACCCAAATATTGCCTAAATATACCCTAATATTACCAAATTATACTAAAAATAAATGTTTTCTACTAAAAAAGTGCTGTTTTTATCATGAATACAATATACACTTTCACTAAGATATAATCAAAAATACCCAAATATACATTTTCCTATCATTGTGTTTTAAACCAAAATACTGTATACAGTACGCTCAGCGCGGCTTTTTCAAAACCCGCGTGACCCCGCGGATGAGGTTTACCGCGGACGAAAATTTGCTCAGATATTGTCCGCATGACCCCGCGGACAGAAAATTTTCACCACCGCGGACATAAATCGGCGGCTAAAACCGTTTCCCCCGCGGAATGCAGTGGTAAATTGCGGAGGAACGCGGCGGTCAAACACCGGTCAACGCGTTGGAAACCTTAAATTTTAAAAATTAATTACTGTATTTAAACATCAGTATACGTACGTACATGTACTGTAACATGTACGGTACATATACATGTAACTATATGTAAAATTTGTTTGTTTTCTTTCTTTTTTGTTGTAATAAAAGTACATGTACAAATTCAGTGTTTTTCTTGTTCTTCTTCTTGTTATTGTGTTGGGTAATGTATAATATGTATTCGACATCAAGATGAATCATTGTCGTCGCATCTTCATGGTAGTGAGAAACTTGAAGTCAAATAATGAAAAATTCGGCATATGACATTTATGAAAAAGATACTACAACAATTTATATGCCAGCTTTTGTTTCTTATTTAAAAACTTTGAAAACGTAACCCTCAACAATTTTATTCAGGCAATATTCCAGGACGTCTCTTACAATTGTCAGATGCGTTTTACTGTTTCTGTTTATTTGCATGTTGATCATAAAAAATATGACAATATACAATATCTGACAATATACAATATCCGACAATATCTGACATGATGGCAAAGAGAATCTTTTTGAATTTGTGTCAAATATATATACGGTATGTACAGTATACATAAACTTTTTTGCAAGTGTCATGCATATTTCTCATGTCCATTTTCGACGGGATTTTTACTGTAAAACAAACACAAAAAACAAGTCTACCCGTTTTTAAAGAATATAATTGCATACAAATAAATTCTTATAGATGGTTTAAATATCTTTTTCTTTTATTTCTAATACATGTATATGTACATGTATTTTATTTATGTCCTGTCTTGTATTCACACTCATCGACCTCTTGCAGGACATGTACTGTAGCGTCAGTCATCATTGAGAAATCAGCACAAATGTCCTTTTTTTTACTAAGTATCATATTTATGGCTCCCATATTGTTTAACAGCAATAATACTTATAGAACCACAAGGAATGAACAAGTAAAGATGACAGTGATAAATGACGATTTCAGTTGTAAAAATATTGGTATGTGGACGAATAGTTTTGTGGACGTTTATAACAAAAATATTAAAAACAACAACAAAAACAGGTACAGCTGTAATTTTTTTTTTTCAAATTCCCTTCAAATAATTTAGCGTATAATAACATTTAAGGAGACGATTGTGGTCAATTTTCAAGTCATTGTGTAAAAAAAATGAAGTTAAAAAATAATAAAACGTCTATTATTTTTGGAGGTTAATTTATACTGACCCAACTGACCATGGCATTCCCCCGCGGGAAACGGGTGACTGATTTTATTGATAAATGAAGAACGGTCCTCAGAATTTTGTCCGCGGTGGAAACAACTGAACACCGGGGATCGCGGGGAAATTAGGCTTCTCATCGCGGACGAACCCCCGCGTTTGTCCGCGATAAAAAAAATCGTCCGCGGTGGTATCGCGGAAAAAGCAAAACCCGCGGTGAGCGTACTGTATTTACTCTGTTAAACTATTTACCCCGTTAAACTATTTTTTTTTAAAAATAACATAGACACTTGTATATGATATGAAATTTCAACAAAATAACACCTTAAAAATGTTAGTTAAGACAACAAATACCATATCCATATCTTGATTTAAAATTGCAAGTACATTCATAAAGAACCTATATACACATGTAGTAGATAAGCAAATGTCACAACTTTATTTCCTTACAACATCTTGACTGTCCATTTCAACGGAATGAATAAAAGTTATAGCAGGCTAAGTCATATTATTATATAAATACTTATTTATTTCTTATTATAATCCTTATTTTATACAAACAAAAATAAATATTGCTATTATTGGGTGTATTTGGGTAAATTTGGGTATTTCGTGCCGCCGGAATAAAGCTATGTTAACAGGTTAAGTAAGGACAATTGGCCGAAACATTCGCTGAATCATGTAGATTTGATCACCTCATATTTAGCGGTAATTTTCACGATGTTTCACCACTAATAACTGCCTGCAGGCGGATTAAATATATACTGGCCAGTGGTCAACAGAGTTCCAGATAATTTTTTGACACTGGGGGTAATTACCCCCACTTTTCAGAATGTGTGGGTAAATTTAGATATATCATAAATCTAAAGAGTACAATTAAATGACTTTACTTTCTTTGCTGCATCACAGGTTAATTACATTAAAATTAACACACCATTGATATTCAGGCTTCAGCGTGAATCACTTCAATTGAAAGGCTTTTACCATATTCTTAATTTTATTTTACATTGTTTACGACAAAAATCGGTGACAATACATAAACTATAACATTACAAATTATCACCTGTCAATTGCTGATTTCTGTATATTTATTGCACCTTCAAGCCGGTGCTAGGGGGCATGAGGGATGTTGCACTTATTTATTATTTATTATCTCTCATGTACAGACTCAGTCAAACCGAGTCTGCAATTCTTATGTTATTTTGTTGTGATTAATGCTTCCGAGGGATCACTTTGTTTCCAGAATTTTGTACTTCACAACATCAGGTGTCAAGTGCCGTGTGGCAGCTGTAAAAAGTTGCCCCGTACTTCTCTTCAGTGTTGTTATATTTTCTGGTCCTTCGGGATCATTGATGCTAACACTATAAAGTGTTGAGAATTGAGTACCGCTCAAGCCGGTGCTAGGGGGCGTGAGGGATGTTGCACTTATTCATTATCTCTCATGTACAGACTCAATCAAACCGAGTCTGCAATTCTTATGTTATTTTGTTGTGATTAATGCTTCCGAGGGATCACTTTGTTTCCAGAATTTTCATTAGCCCATACATTGCCAGCTTTAAATTTATGACAAGTCAGACATTTCATTTGCACTTCAATAATTTGCAGCCACGGATAACTTTTTAACAATTTTCAAGTGTTGTATTGCGATTCACAGTTATGTGAGCCCTTTTCACTTTAAATACACTATCTAAAATGTCTTCAACAATTGGGTTTACAATTGTTTAAGCAGGCAACTCAGTCGTGTTAAAAAAAATTGTCAATTTTCCTGTGCTTTGGCTTGGAAGCAGCCATGATGTAAGTCTTTATTAAAAAACGCTTTCAATAATAAAGGAAATCAAGGTCGGGTATTAAATGGAAAAAAGAAACACAGTCAAATGTTAAACAGAAACGGAATCAGCTGTTTCCAAAATGAAAGTACACACCAAAAACGCTTTGATTTTTTATTCTTTGTGTATTTAATTTATAGCATGCGTAAATTAACGCAAGAAATTTGAAATATGGTGCGTATTGAGTTGATTTTGAAGCGTAAAATACGCCGATACGCACGTTATCTGGAACTCTGGGTCAATTACAGTATGACACCTTGGCTCAGGAAGCCACAGGGTGTAAACAATTTAATTGATCAAAATTATTGTGAAATGTGAAAGAAAAAAAGTAATATCACTAATTTTGTCTATATCTTTTTCTTTTGACCTATCCAACCTCTTCTAACTTTCTATCATATCATGAATGTTTCTTTTCCTTGACCTAGCACCACCCGTCGCGTTATAATCAAGTGTGATTGCGCCGACGTAAGATGTAGATGAATATTGTACATTGGAATAAAAAGTTGATTTCATAGGGTTAGTTAAAGGAGAAAGTATACAGCTAAAATAGATATACAATATTTTCATTTAAAACACAGTGGGGAAGAGTTGTTACTCCCTGTTTAGATTGGTCCAGGGTACTGGTCAGGGACCATCAACCAGACACTTTTTGAACATTTTTCCATACATATTTCATAATTTCAAAGCTACAGATCTGAAAAATTGACACAGTACAGCTAGGTTCTTCTCCTAACTAACAAATTAGTTTGTTAAGTTCTGATTATGTTGACACTTATGTCTAAGGCCTGTCAAGGAGGGTATCTAAATTACCTAAATTGTACATAGTACAGTACCATATGTCTCGACAGATATGTAATGACATTGATTTAATTAAGATAAAAGCTTAGGTATTCTAATTTTAAAGTTTTAACATGATATACAATATATCAGCAGCAAATGCTGAAGTTTTTGATATTCTATTGTTTATTCTGCAAATGATTATAACTAGTATAAGAGGTCAGGCATTGCACTCTTGATGTCCAAATTTCCCACATCAACGTTCTTGAAATAGACATTAAAAAATTACCCTGTACGAAAGTTGAAATGAATTTAATTACTAAATTATAGAAGAAACCTGTGTTTAATGTTGATGATAAAGTGACTCATAGATTGACAACAACTGAACAAAGAAAACAAGTAAATCAGTCATTTTGTGGGCCGTCCAGGTTTGGTGGTTGTCTGTTTTTGGTGGTCCCCAACCAGTAGAGACCTGCACAAGTTTAGTTGACAGTGAGTTCCAGAGGACTATAGTTGCTGGAAAAAAGGAATATATTGTAGAAGTTACATGGAGTAAGGATCTGCCTGAAAGAAAGTGGATGCTAATGTCGGGTGATTTAGAGAGAGCAGCTGAACGTAAAGGGTTGTATGCTGGTAATGGCACTGCAACCAGTCCATGCACAATCTTGTAAAAACATTAAGAGTCTTGCATCAGCTCTCCTACATTTTTTTTTTATTTTCCAGGGAACGCCAACCTAACAGAGACAGTCCTGTATGCAGAACAGTCTTTAATAACCTATGGCACAGCTCTGTGCTGGACCATTTAAACTTTGTGGATGTTCTGCCAAGTGTGAGGACACCAGACAGAACTGGCATATTTAAGCTGGGGTCTAACCAGTGGTTTTGTATGCTAATTCCCTTACGCTTGAATTTTTAGAAAGTTAAGAATCTTCCTGGCGTTAGATGTGACATGATTAACATGTTTGTTCCCATTTAGATCTAAGAAGAAAGTGACACCCAGGGACTTTGCATCATTGACATTTTCTGGGACTTGGCAATGGAGTGAATATACTGACTATAATGGGTGTTTTGACTTGGTTTGTTTATAGGTATATGATTTTATCATTTATCTACAAAACTTAAGTTATGCTTATTTGATTTAAATAACAAAATATTGCTTTTATTGTTTTAAGGTCAGTGACAGTGAAATTCTAAAATCAGTTGACAGAGCCATAGAGATAATTCATTATGAAGCAAGCACTAAGGGAGGCCAGTACACACATGTCCAGAGGGAAAATCTCAAGTATGTGAATAATTGTATACTTCAATGTTTGGTCATAGACTAAATGATAATAATCATGGTCGATAGATCAGAGTGATGAATTACAAAGAGTTTGAATTTGCATAATTGTACTACTACACAAGAAAAATTGATATCTATTTTTACTTTGACACGCTGATAGAATTAGAATTGATTGAAATATTTCAAACCACATTAAGCAGATAAGTATTTTTTAATGACGTCATTTGGTTCATTGATGTCACATCTGATGTCATAAGGTATGCATTAAAACATTTCTTTTTATATGCTGGAAAAAATTTCGGGCATATTATGTTATACCCCCTGGCGTCTGTTCGGGCTGTTTAAGAGAAGTAGGGGACCATCTATCTGTAAACAGAACAAAAGAGAACAATAGAGTTCATTCTGTAACAATAGAATAAGGGGCCATGGCCCTCTATTTAACAAAAGAAAATAACAAAAGAAATGGCCCCTTAGTCCATTTAAGTGGCACGTCGGTCTGGACTTCCATCTGTCCGTACAAACCCAGAGGTACTTGTGTGACTTGGAGAACAATGGGTAACAGTAAATTCTCTTTGATCCTATTCATTCTGTTTTTAGCTCATCTGTCACTTTGTGACAGGGTGAGCTTTTGTGATCGCTTTTCGTCCCGAGTCCGTCCGTCATCCGTCGGTCGTCCGTAAACTTTTACTTTAAATGACATCTCCTCATAAACCACTAAGCCAATTTCATCCAAACTTCACAGGAATGTTCCTGTGGTGGTCACCTTTGAAAATTGTTCAAAGAATTCAATTCCATGCAGAACTCTGGTTGCCATGGCAACCAAAAGAAAAAACTTTAAATATCTTCTTCTAAGAAACCCAAAGAGCTAGAGCTTAGATATTTGGCATGAAACATCTTCAAGTGGGTGTCTACCAAGTTTGTTCAAATAAAAGCCCTGGGGTCAAAATTGGCCCGGCCCCAGGGGGTCATTGATTTTGCCTATATGTATATAGTAAAAACTTAAAAAATCTTCTTTTAAAGAACCCAAATAGCTAGAGCTAAGATATTTAGCATGATACATCTTCTTATGGGTGTCTACCAAGTTTGTTCAAATAAAAGCCCTGGGGTCAAAATTGGCCCCGTCCCAGGGGTCATTTACTTTTCCTATATGCATATAGTAAAAACTTAAAAATCTTCTTTTAAAGAACACAAAGTGCTTGAGCTAAGATATTTAGCATGAAACATGTTCTAATGGATGTCTACCAAGTTTGTTCAAATAAGAGCCCTAGGGTCAAAATTGGCCCCGCCCCAGGGGGTCATTGATTTTCCCTATATGAATATAGTAAAAACTTAAAAATCTTCTGTTAAAGAATCCAAAGAGCTAGAGCTAAGATATTTAGCATGAAACATGTTCTAATAAATGTCTACCAAGTTTGATCAAATAAAAGCCATGGGGTCAGAATTGGCCCAGCCCCGGGGGACAATGATTTTCCTTAAATGTGTATAGCAAAAACTTAAAAATCTTCTTCGAAAAAAAAAACGAATAGCTAGAGTTTAGATATTAAGCATGAAACATCTTCTAGTAAGTGTCTACAAAGATTGTTCAAATAAAAGCCCAGGGGTCAAAACTGGCCCTGCCCCAGGGGTGTCATTGTTTTTAAATATATATGTAATGAAAAAAACTTAAAAAATCTTCTTTTAAAAAACCCAATGAGCTAGACCTTAGATGTTTAGCATGAAACATCTTCTAAAGGTTGTCTGCCAAGTTTGTTAGAATAAAAGCCCTGGGGTTTAAACTGGCCCCACTCTGGGGGGCCTATATACAGGTGAGCGACTTCAGGGCCATCATGGCCCTCTTGTTACTTATGTGTCTTTTTAGCTCACCTGTCACAAAGTGACAGGGTGAGCTTTTGTGATCGCTTTTCGTCCGGCGTCCGGCCGTCGTCCGTAAACTTTTACTTTAAATGACATCTCCTCATAAACCACTAAGCCAATTTCATCCAAACTTCACAGGAATGTTCCTTTGGTGGTCACCTTTAAAAATTGTTTAAAGAATTTAATTCCATGCAGAACTCTGGTTGCCATGGCAACCGAAAGAAAAACTTTAAATATCTTCTTTTAAAAAACCATAAGAGCTAGAGCTTAGATATTTGGCATGAAACATCTTCTAGTGAGTATCTACGGTGTTTACTTAAGGTTTTGACTTTCACTTGCCGGAAGGGCAAGTAACTTTGAAAATCTACTTGCCCCCAGGAAAAACAGGTTGCCAGATCTTAAATGTGAAGTTTGTTAATAATCAAAGCAAAAATTATGGGTAAAAATAAGATTTATTGCAGATCCTATCAACTTATGCCTCAGATAGTAAAATAGTCCTAAATTCCCTACTGTATATGTTTTTTTTGCTAATTCACAATAATCTAGGGGTCGACACAACTTTCTTTGCCAGGGATCCAATAGTAATCCCTGAGATTTAATTTAGAAAAACTCCTAAATGTCAGGGATTCCTCACATCAAAATAGTAAAATGAAAGTGAAGATTAACAATAGTCATGTCCGACATGATCTGTTAAGGCTTATAAAAATTACAGGTAATCATAAATTAGGCCGTATTCCAGATGACTTTTAAAATATATTAACATTCAGATGCTATCACCTTAAAAATATTTATTCCCTAAAACAACATTAAAAAGGAAACAGTACATTGATTGTTAAAATTGTGCTAGGTTTTAAATGTTTATTGTTGATTTCAAACAATGTAAAATATCAAAAATATGTTTGCTTTGTTTGCATTACTAAACTAGTAATGTACCTTTCAAATTTATTTCATTTTTAAAAACAACAAGTTGCTCCAAGTCCATGACAGGATACTCAATTTAAATTGATCTGTCTGATTCCTATCCTCCCTGTTTGTATTAAAATTTATTTGAAGATTTAACCTATGTCACATCAAAGGGACTCACCCCATGCAGTAATCATACAGTTCAGAGCACTGACTGGTTCAAAGAACTGTCAGACGAAATATACTATATTTCGTCATTTGCTGTATGTTTCACCTAAGGAGGTTTTTTCTGTTTTGGTCGTAAATTAGGCATGACCTAGAATGACCTCAGATAACTTATAGTTACACAATATGCTGTGATTTACCAAAAAGGATTTTAAACATTTTATGGATTATTTTATTCTGTTTATTAATAGGTAAGAATATTTTTAAACATTGCCGTAGGGGAGAAAGGAAAATAAATTAACAACAGTTTAGGAATAGTCCCATAAGTACCATTTCGTAAGTACGTCCGTCCGTTAGCAATTTGGTTTCCGGAGCATAACTTAAGTTCCATTTTGCCCACAGTATTCAAAGTTTGTTGGATGATTCTCCATATTGGGTAGAAGATCCCTATTGATTTTGGGGTCACAAGGTCAAAGGTCAAGGTCTATTACCCTAAAACTGAAAATCGTTTCTGGAGCATAACTTAAGTTCCATTTGGCCAACAGTATTCAAAGTTCATAGGATGATTGTCCATATTGGGTAGAAGACCCCTATTGATTTTGGGGTCACAAGGTCAGAGGTCAAGGTCACTATTACCCTAAATTCAGAGTATAACTTAAGTCCCATTTGGCCAACAGTATTCAAACTTCATAGGATGATTGTCCATATTGCGTAGAAAACCCCTATTGATGTTGGGGTCAAAGGTCAATGTCACTAGTACCTTAAAACTGAAAATGGTTTCCGGAGCATTACTTAAGTTCCATTTGGCCCACAGTATTCAAACTTCATAGGATGATTGTCCATATTGGGTAGGAGACCCTAATTGATTTTGGGTCACAAGGTCAAAGGTCAATGTTACTATTACCCGAAAACTCTAAATGGTTTCCAGAGTATAACTTAAGTCCCATTTGGCCAACAGTATTCAAACTTCATAGGATGATTGTCCATATTGCGTAGAAAACCCCTATTGATGTTGGGGTCAAAGGTCAATGTCACTATTACCTTAAAACTGAAAGCAGTTTCCACTCGATATCAACATACAGCTGTAAAATTTTAAAGGATTAACAGCCATGTTCAATATGTATTAGATCCCTATTGATTTTAGGGTCATAAGGTCAAAGGTCATGGTCACAATGATCTTTACACTGAAAATTTTTGTTTCTGGAGCATAACTACAACTTGATGGTGGTGCTTTGAAAACAGCAACTGTATATATATATATAAATTATAACCCTTCCAGATTTCTTCCGCCTTTTTGATTGGATATTGATCACCCGAAAGAAATTGATATAACCGAGCCAGACGGGTAATATACACACTAAATTTCCCCGTTTGGTACCCAATGTTTTAAACAACATGCGCTGAGGTGATGCGCGTACGGTTCGATTTTACGCGGTATAAATTCCAATTTAAAAGCACTTTTTAACTGTCAAATGATCAATATTTACCAAAGTAGAGTAATGATACATATTACCATCAGTATCGAAAACAAATATGACCTTGTGAAAGTTTGATATTAATTGCAAAAAAGTGCGTTCAATAGACTACTCCTTTTCTCTTGTTTACTTTCGTAAGGTACGGGAAAAATACGTCATGTATTTATGTGACGTCATGTTGTGACAAAGAGGTATCCTAAAGGGAATCTTATTTCGACCTTTCATTTGAAGCAGCAATGATTTTTTAAAAAATCGTCTAAACTCGGCAGGGGAAGGGTAGTAAAATTATTATTTTGGTTTTGGAGTGATATATGTGGATATATTACCTGCCAAGATAAAATATCACCCTCGCCTAACGGCTCGGGTGATATAAAATCTTAACAGGTAATATATCCACATAATTATATCACTCCAAAACCAAAATAACATATAATATATATGAAGGTTCTTCAGCTATAAAGGAGGATTGCTTTTTGAAGGAGGTAATACTGTATTTTATTCCCATGAATACAATGTTTCATCCTTACAAACAAAAAAACACTTTCAGGCATATTATGCTCTGCCTAATGGTGCTCTTGTCTTACTCTTTACATAATTATACACTAAATAAACCAGTCTGTCAAGTAAGGTATTGAGGAACTACTGGGAAGAGTGCTGGAATATAAGACAAATTAGTCAGTTCTCCCTGCAATAGCATTCAAAATCAAACTCTTTTCTGTAACAAATATTTGTGTACAAAGTTAATACAAATATAATGATCGAAATAAGAGATACAACAAAACATATATCTCATTTATTTTCAGAAAGTTAGTTGAACATAGAGATAATGTACTACACTCTAGTAGAAACACACAAGATAATTCAGACTGGGTTGTTGTTCCAGATTCTACACAAGTTTCAACATCTTCAGGTACATGTTGATTACATTTGTATTGTCAAATCATTGATTTAAGGACTGAGGTATACATGAAAAGTTTGTCTATGGGTTGCATTCAATCTTACACCATAGAACACTACATGTAGCAATGGTCATGAGTTTAAATAGAAATGCATTCTTCAAGCATAAAATATCATAGCTGTTGTCCAGTAACCCAGGCTATTTACCAGTATATTGACTGTAGTATTATAATATAGATTGTGTAAAATGGGTTCAGACAATGTGTAAACATAAAGTTGGCCAATATCTTGATCAAGATGCCAATGTTAGGATTAGCAGTTAATAATGTACATGTATATAGACAATGGGCAGGATGGTGATGTCAGAGGCTGCAGAAACAATAAATGTTGCTATAATCATGTATAATGTAATTAAAACAAATATTTATAAAAAGACAGGTTTAGAGATGGATTTTACCTTCACCATTCATGAAAAATGCTTAATATTGATCTAAAACAGTTTAATTGTACACTTCAATATTTTAATTTTTGGTTTTTGTTCTTGAAGGAAAAAAAGATCTGTTCAAAGCATATCAAATGTTTGTGTATTTTTTAGATATTCAGCCAAAGCGTCGTTCTGCAAGAAGGACCGCTCCCCCTCCACCAAAGAGATCATCAGGGGAAATAACTACAAAGAAAGAACAACAGACAATTACTTCCCCTGTTCAAGATACTCTTCATGAACAGCAAATATCATATAATAGCACAGAAGATGAAGAAGTCATTGTAATAAATATGCCTGGTTGTGGAATGAAATCTTCGGACGATGTTGCAGATTCTGTAACAAATGAAAACAGTGTTGTATCAAAAACAGATTCTTCAACCAAAACAGATAACATTCCATCAACAGACTGTGCCACAAGCCCCATGCCATCTCCTTCAAAATTACACACATCTGTAACAGAGAATAAATCTATAAATTGTAGAACCATTCCAATTCCAAGTCAGCTTGGTAATGATCTGATTGAGGAGATAAGAAAAAATACCGGTCTAAGTTACAAGAAGTCCTGTATTGCTGTGGAAACCGTTTTAAGTCAAATAGGGATTAAAATTCCAGAAGTTTCTATTTTGATGGATAGAATTCATGGCACTTTGTATGAGGTAAGTATTTTGTAATCATTTCTTTTGAGATTTCCCTGTTTCTGACTTTATATATATCTGATTATCACTTTAATATTTGTTTTCAATGTTGTAGAATGATCTTCTACTCTAAGATTTTTGTTGAGTTCACATAATTTTTTATACTTGAAATTAATTAACTTAAATGACATAAGCCAATTATCTGTGTAGTTTTCAAAAGCATAATTATGCCAGATTGCATTAAGATACTGTTCTAATAAAACCATTTCTTCATTGTGTGTCATATTAGAATGTATTCTGTGATGCCTAGAACAACATTGAGAACGTGGAATGAATTTAAAAATGAGGAGGGAGGATTTTATGTCCTTTAAAAGATTTAAAATATTTCCTTTAAAAGATTGTATACATACTAAAGCATGTATATTAAATTCCAACATAATTTGTCATTTGTCAAGTGTGCTTTAGTGTATGGGATATTTAACAAAAGAGCCTTTTAACTCCATGATATATATTATTTAATATTGAAGCATCTGGCACTGAAACTGTAATATATATCAATAGTGATTAATTACTGATAAAACTATTTTGTATTACCTCTCTCATTGATAATTGCGTCTGGTGGAAAATTGGTTTGTCTGTAGAGAACTTTTGCTGTTATATCTCATTCTATAAGCTGTAGAATGTATTGTTGGCTTTGTGCAGTAACCAGTTAACTCCTATTAAATTATATAAGGAGTTAACCTTTTACTGAACTTAGGCGATGGCATACTTTTTTCACATAACATGACTCTTGAAAAGAGCTTCATTTTACATATTGACATTTAAAAAAAAAAAATAGAATACGACATTGACCGAATATGGATTTGACCCCGAATATGACCTTGACTCGGAATATGACCTTGACTCCAGGTCATATTTCAAAATAAAAGAAATTTCAGCATAATGTTGTATTGTGTTTTTCATTTTAGAATAATTCAGATAAACAAGAGGAAGAGACTAGTTTAGATTACGAACGTTTATGTGAATTGTTTGCGGAGCTGACTGAATGCAAGGATGACTCGCAACAGCGAGGATGGCATCTTCACGAGGACGAAGATATAATAAACAACAACCTGGAAGAAATGTTGTCTATATTGGTATGTTATCATTTGATAATGAGTAAAAATGGTAGTAAATCAAACAATGTCAAGGGTAACTGTTCCTTTGTTTGGATATGAATACCTTATGTGTGTACAAATTTTATACCCCGGTCACATATTCACGGAATACGCCCACGGAAGAGCCACGGATTAATTCTGGCATCGTCCGTAGCTACCCGTACTGGTCAGTAGCTCTCCGTATTGTAACCGTAATCAATCGTAGTAGTCCTTGTATATCCGTGCACAAAAATTTGCTACGGAAAAATCAACCGTAGCGTATCCCTACTAGTCCGTATTAATCCATTCTGATACGTACTGGTCCGTACAAAAACCGTAATAGTCCGTACTGATTCGTAGTCCACCAACTTGTCAAGGATTTCCACGGTTTGGTACGGAGAACTACGTATTTGTACAGTTACCCTACGTATAAGCTACGGTTTTAATACGGATTAATACGACACTGTCACGGAAAGCCACGATCGTAATACGTTGTACTATGGAGAGGCAAGGATTAGCACGGTCTTATACGGTTTATTGCGTTGCAACACGAAACGGTTCGGAATGGTACGGCCCACCACTGTTTAGTACAGATGAATTAAGTATCATGTACTTTTTCAAGGGTATAAATACTACCTTCTTGTTAAAAACAGACATATATATTTGCGGGAACATTTAATAAATGATAATTTCCATTTACTGGCTGCAACTTTATATTGAAATGGCTCAGAATGCGGAGGCAGTGGTCGAGCTGCTTGATGACATGCATAGAAGTAAATTTAAATTAATATCGTACTACAATTCATAAGTAAAAGAATAACATTTAATGTTACATATTTTACAAACATTCGATCGTGAAATTGGAGTAAATATGTACATAAAACGAAGTGTCTCATAACCCTCGGACACTGGCCCTTGAGTGATAATAAGATTAATTAACAAGCTTTTTACACATTTTTAAAACATAAACATCACGATAATTAATGTAATTGTAAGATGAACAGAAACTCTTAAAATTAAAAGAGAAGCAGTATTGATCAACATTTTTCATTAATGATTACTAGTCCATATCTAATCAGGTAAGAGAAGACAGACGAGATGGTGGACTAGAGATGGGCTTTTACGAAGACCGCTTCATGTTTAGTATTAGGCTCTCATGGCCGAACTTGTTGAGGATCCAGCGTCCTTCAAAAAATTCACTTTAATTGGACCTGATGTGTCTCGGGGTTCGGACGCGATTAGGCTGAATCCTCTCCGCCAAAATCATTGAACGCTGCAATTCGTTTTGTAGGTGTTCTTTCCTTTGAGGCATTTTGAAAATGAGCAAGCAAGAGGTTGTGGACGGATGTATTAGGTCCGTATAGATCCGTGGCAATTCGTTCTTCTCCGTATCAATACGTTCTTCTCCGTATCAGCCCGTACTTATTCGTACTAACCCGTGCTTATACCGTAGTAGACCGTAGTGTATCTGTAGTGCGTCCGTCCTGTTTCGTGTCGCTCCGTATCAAACCGTGTCGGTCCGTAACAATCCTTGTCTCTCCGGGGGCTTTTGGTGGAAAATCGGTCGGACTCCGTACTCATACCGTTGTGTGTCCATACTGGAACAGTAGCGGACTACAGTATTTCACATTTCCGTAGTAATCCGTGAATGATTAGACCGTAGCTCTTCCGTGGCATTATCCGTGAATATGTGACCGGGGCAATAGTCCTTTGAGTATAGATATTTGAGTAAAGAAAAAAGCAATATTCAACCCTATTTATCAATACCCTGAAGATCAAAGAGTTGAATAGGGCTCTAGCTAGACCAAATTTCAAAGAATATCAAAAGTTGTTTATGTTCCAATACATGTGAAAAATCCACTAATTTGCAGCGTAGCTGTTAGTGGGTCAGACTAGCAATCTAAGGATTACTGATCGGGTGGGTTCAAACCTTGTCTGGAGCAAGCCGTTGTTACCTTGAGCAAAAAACTTTACATTCAATTGCTTAGTATTGGTTGGTTACAGAAAAGGACTCGAGAGTGTTCCAATAAGCTTATAGCTTCCAACGCAATCAAACTAAAATAAATTTGTGTAAACAATCTGTTTTCATTTTAGGAAAATGCCAAACAGTCAATTGCAAAGAAAGCCTTGGCTAAGGACAGTTATGAAGGAGTATACAGTCTTGTGCAATATTATCAAATGGTAGGTACTCTATTTAACCCTTAGTCTGATTCTTCCCCCTGCGGTCACTGCAGACCAAGCTCACTTTGTACATCAATGCTGACTGATCATGGTCTGCACTGTTCACTATTCAGTCAGTAGGTAGTAATAAATTTTTCTTATGAATGATTTATGGTTGTGGTCATATTTGAGCCTCGCCATGACAAAACCAACATAATGGGTTTGCAACCAGCATGGATCCAGACCAGCCTGCGCATCCGCACAGTCTGATCAAGATCCATGCTGTTCGCTGTCAGTTTCTCTGTTTGTTATAGGGTTTGTAAGCGAACAGCATGGATCCTGATCAGACTGCGCATCTATGAATCTATATATCTCTGGATCTATGCTGGTTGCAAATGCACTATGTTGGTTTTGTCATGGTACGGCTAATTTATATTTACAGCCGTTACAAAAACAATAAACTATTCCAAATACATTGCTGGAAAAGTCCATTTAACAAATTTAGCATGTTAAATGCTCGTAATCAGAATCCAGAGGCAGTGTAGAAAGTAAAATATAATTGATTGCAAAAGGCAATAATAAATGTAGTTAAATATAAATGATAGATACAACAGAATATTTGTATCAGAAGTAATAGTCAAGCATTTTTTGATTATGATAAATTTTTACCAAGTGTTAATTTGTTCTAAGATACATGTACAGTAGAACTTCTATGAGTCGAACTTCGATTAGTCGATTTTCTCGATGTGTCGAAGTAAAATGAAAGTCCCGATTTTTTCCCTTATATATTCCTTATAAAAACCTATTTATGAGTCGAGATTTTATGTGTCGAATTTTTCGATGTGTCGAAGTTTTTTCGTGGTCTGTATAGAATAAATCTAGTACAATTTACCACAAATAAGTTGAAGTCCTTCGATTATTTTGACACCTTCGATCTCAAGACATTTTTCACACCTTTTCTGGCCGCACAGACGATTTCTGATCAACTTTAGTGACAGGTGTTAATTACACAGCCTATGTTCAAACAGCCTTTATATGCGTTTAAATGTGTGAAAAAATGCTTTAATCATTACTATTTTAATTGCCGTAGCGGTATTTGAAAGTACATGTAAACAGTTAGAACTATCATTTGAGTACTTCCATGACCCGGTGTGACCCAGGCTGTCCAGCGTCCCTAAAATTCCTAAAAAATCCTATTTTTTTTCTGTTTGGCTAAAATTCCTAAAAAAGTGAAAAATTCAAAGGGAATTCCTAAAAATGCCCTACTTTTTCACTGAAATTCCTAAAAAAATTTAACTTTTGTTATAAACATACTTATAACTTGTAACACTGCGAAAATGATGTCGAACATAACAAAGTGGACCATGTTTTGAACATGGTCAAAAATGATTTTGCCATGATTAATGCCAACTCAAAATTGGTGACTTTGAAATGGCATCATTCCAACTAAAAGTTACTTTGACTATGTCCGTAACATTACTATTTCATAATCAAAGCAGTTGTTTATATCATGTTGACAGTTAACAGCAAAAACACTACCATATCATGGTCCTGAAACTTAAATCATAACCATAAGAGGTTGACTTATTCTGGAATATTTGACACTGTTTTGCCAAATCCAGATATCTTGTATTTTATGTTTTTTTCTTTTTTTCCAAATGGCTGAAGTGGTCCATTTATATCATATCATATTTGAAAATGATCATTATGAAGCTGTTGTAACACAATCTTAATTAAAAACATGTATAAATAAGTTGTCAAAAATTAATGTACAATTTGTTTACTCACAACTCTTTTATTTAAATCTGCATAATTTCAAAACAACATTGTAAAGTACTAAATGTGTTAACATAGACTTTGCAAAATAAATTCTAACCATGTACACACATTTTGCAATTATATGATCTAGATAAACTGCAATTGAATGGTCTGTGTGATGAACTTTTTTGATGTGCAATTCTGTGTGTTGATTATAGATGCTTCCCATTTGTTCAAATGACTGTACTATGGCTAATGCCTTTTTACTTCCTACTTGTACTAAAATTGCATTTGTCCATATTCAAAAGCTGCATTGTGCATGAACTTCACTGTAAAAGAATTCCTTTTAGACACTCATGATTATAACATTCCCAAAACATAGGTAGAACATGTTCTTTTGACATGTTCAACCATTGAAAAAACCATATTTCAAATATGGTTTGACTATGACCATTTCCGCTGGGGAGGCAGTTGACCAGTAAGTCCACACTGGTAGACACCTTTGCTTTAACTAAATCAGAGCATTATTTGTGAGTTACTTTTGTATCAAATATGCAAAGGTTAGCCCACATCATGGTCTTTTGGGCCAAACTTTAGTTATAAAATTCCAAATTTTAGCCCTAAAATTTCTATTATGTACCCTAAAATTCCTAATTTTAGCCCTAAAATTTCTAAAATATTGCCCTAAAATTCGCCCTAATTTTATGTCAGAAGATGCTGGACAGCCTGGGTGTCGCGTGATAATCACACGCAAAATATTTACTATAAGCTGGTTTAGTTATTGCCCTTTCGTATTGTTACGCCTTTTGTAACTTCATTGCATATGTCAACAGGTAGTCCAAATCAATTTAGCCGTGAAAAGTTACTTAAAATTTCATATTTATCATTGTATAGTGTAAAATATCAGATTAATGAATGAAAGAAAAACATGAATATGTTACGTTATAGATCTTATAATTAGGGCTAGTCACGGGTTGAAATTTTGTCATGAAATTCAGACCGATTCATGAGTCGAAGTCCCGATGTGTCGAAGTTTCTACATAAATCCCTCCAACTTCGACTTACCGAAGTTCTACTGTAGTTTAAAATTGCATTTTAATCTATAATCATAGCATTTTTGTATTTTAACATTAAACATAATGGAAAAACATAGATCTGTATATAATTATATAAATGTTAATCTATTTCATACATCAGGAGAATAGATTGAGGTTAAAGCTTGTATTGCTGCGTGTGTTTGGAGCTATGTGTTCATTAGACAGTGGAGTTATCTCCCTTCTATTGTTTTCTGTTCTCACGACGGAACTGGCTGACGAGCTTCAACAAAACATTGAAGGTATGGCAAATATGTCAACAGAACTTATATTTATGTTTATTTGTTGCAAGGATGTCAGCAGAACTTATGTTTATTTGTTGCAAGTTTGTCTGCAGAACTTATATTTATATTTATTTGTTGCAAGTGTGTAAAAAGGTAAAAGTATTAAAAAAGAATGTGTTGATTTTTAATTGAGCTGAATGAAAGAAAATGAACGTAAATTATCACACATGCTTTGCATTTCCATAAATAGGGTATTGCACGGCGGTGCATATATTTTGACTTGACATTATTTGTGTTATACAAACATAGCATTACGAAGCATTAAATGGACTAAAGGCGCGTTTATTAAAAAAGATTCCTTTTCACTTTAAAAATTCTTTATTTTGGGTATGTTTTAAATAGAATATTATATTTGTGTAAGTTTAATACTGAATTTACTGAACTCATTGATCATTGAGTAAAAAAATATAATGCTTGTCAGTGGCTTGCATAATATAATTTAATTCAACTCGTTCAAATATTTTAGTTTTGAAATTACACTCATTTAATATACTCTATATATCATAAAATATGGATTTTATACAGTTACAAATGTATAAGTAAGTAAAACATATTTACATAAAATATGCAGCTGTATTTGTGAAAGATCTGCAAAAAAACACAGTACATTCACTAGGTATGGTTTTTGTTATCCCCTGCCGATGGAATCAGGAGGGGGATATAGTCCTTCCGTCCGTGCGTCCATCCGTCCGTCCGAATTTCGTTTCCGGAGTAGTTCTCTGCAACTACTGGCTGGAATTCAACGAAACTTTATGGGAATCATCAATATCAAGAGGAGATACGCATATCGTCAGCTTGTTCCAGTCAGACCCTTTAACTCAGAGTTATGGCCCTTGATTAGTTATGCAGTATGCATATAGAGTAAAATTTCGTTTCCGGAGTAGTTCTCTGCAACTACAGGCTGGAATTCAACGAAACTTTATGGGAATCATCAATATCAAGAGGAGATGCGCATATCGTCAGCTTGTTCCGGTCAGACCCTTTGACTCAGAGTTATGGCCCTTGATTAGTTATGTAGTATGCATATAGAGTAAAAATCGTTTCCGCACTACTTCTCTGCAACTACTGGCTGGAATTCAACGAAACTTTATGGGAACCTTCAATACCAAGAGGAGATGCGCATATCGTTGCCTTGTTCCGGTCAGACACTTTAACTCAGAGTTATGGCCCTTGATTAGTTATGCAGTATGCATATAGAGAAAAAATTGTTTCCGCGCTACTTCTCTGCAACTACTGGCTGGAATTCAATGAAACTTTATGGGAACCTTCAATACCAAGAGGAGATGCGCATATCGTCGCCTTGTTCCGGTCAGACACTTTAACTCAGAGTTATGGCCCTTGATTAGTTATGCAGTATGCATATAGAGAAAAAATTGTTTCCGCGCTACTTCTCTGCAACTACTGGCTGGAATTCAACGAAACTTTATGGGAACCTTCAATACCAAGAGGAGATGCGCATATCGTCGCCTTGTTCCGGTCAGACACTTAAACTCAGAGTTATGGCCATTGATTAGTTATGCAGTATGCATATAGAGCAAAAATCTTTACGACGCTACTTCTCAGCAACTACTGGCTGGAATTCAATGAAACTTTATTGGAACCTTCAATACCAAGAGAAGATGCGCATATCATTGCCTTGTTGGGGTCAGACACTTTAACTCAGAGTTATGGCCCTTGATTAGTTATGCAGTATCCATATAGAAAAATATTAGTTTCCTCGCTACTTTTTTGCAACTACTGCTGGAATTCAATGAAACTTTATTGGAACCTTCAATACCAAGAGGAGATGCGCATATTGTCGCCTTGTTCGGGTCAGACATTTTAACTTAGAGTTATGACCCTTGATAACTTAGGCAGTATACAACCAGAGCAATAATCGTTTCCGTGCTACTGACTGGAATTCAATGAAACTTTATGGGATACTAAGAGGAGATGTGCATATAGTTGCCTTGTTCCGGTCAGATACTTATAACTCAGATTTATGGCCCTTGATTAGTTATGTAGTATGCATACATCTCATTGGCATTTCCAGATATTACTATTTAACACAAAGTTATGGCTCTGTTATTGCCCTGAATATTTATCAAGTTCAAAGAATATTACTGTTTATGCCATGATTAATATATAAATAAAGCCTCATGTTTTCAGTTGTTGTGTTAATAAAAACCAGTACTCGGCTGGGGATATAAATTCAACAAATTTGCTTGTTTTCTTAGATTTACAGAGAAGTAGTTATGTGTTACTGTTGTTGTGTATGCTGTTCTGTACTGGAGAGCCTGTTCCTGCAAATCTACATGGTGAGTTACTGCCCCAGAACTAGTTTTGTTTAAAACAGTTAATCTTGCTTCTTATTTAGGAATGCAGGAATATAATACAGACAAGAATTATCTGCCCATTAGCTTTTTAGTTAGATACTAAGATGTATAAGTGAGATATTGTTTAAAATTTATCTGAGGCAACAGATGTGCCAGCAAAAACAACCGATATGGCCAAGGGTCAAGGGGGATATTTTAATCTACACCCTGAAAATACTATCGATTCTTACAGCATTTAAACTGATTTTAACAGCATTTCAACCGATGATATGGATCGCCAATCTGTTAACAATGAAAACCCTATATGTTATATCATAACATTGATTAAAAATGAGTATAGTATGGGATTTTGGTGAATGTCCTTTAACAAAGTAGAACACATCATGACATCGCTGATATAGATCAGTGAATCTTTTTTTTACTGTATTTTTTAACAACCGAATAAAGGCTGCATCCCCTAGCCCAAAATAGGTAAATTTTCCCCTAAAAATGCTTATATTTTCTCTGAAATGACTCGTGCTCTTCCTTACCAGAACCATGACTTAACAGCATCTGACTTATATCAGCTAGAAGACAGAAAGCTGCCCCTATTGATAGCCTCTGCTATGTACCATGCATGTTAAATTGAATTGAAAATGAAAATTTTGAAAATGTGTGGGTAAATTCCATTTTCAGTCGTCGGAATTTGATTTCAGGTTTTCGCTATATTTTCCCGTTCAGAAAGCCACAGGCTGTTTTGAAAATTGGAAAAAAAGTCACTGTCTAAGATTTTATGATATTAACATGGTTATTTCATATTAATTAGACATTTTTGTAAAATATGAGATATAATCATAATTAAAAAAAAAAATTAAAAAAAAAACCTTTTACAGAGACATATATAAGATAGATGTTATCTACATCTCTGCCTTTTATCAGCAATTTCATTTAAAATTTTCATATCTTAACATTGTCTTACCATCATATTCAATAATTTGTTTTCTAACAAGATGCTTACTATTCCCAACAAACTAAATGGTTGTGCCTGTAGGCATTAAAAGTACATGATTTACATACAGAATAAGAAAAAAAAATCTTACATGTCACTAAAAAATTGAAATGTGTCTTTATTTAATTGCTTTTTAAGTTACTTCTCCATTCAATGAAGTTTAACTTGTCTCTATCAGCATGTTAGATTGGAAATAAGTATCAATTTACTTGTTTTGTAGAACAATAATGGATAGTTTATTGGTCAAATGCTTTATAACTAATATCACTTAGTCCTAACGGATTTTGTGATCACATGCATTTGAACTCCTTTCTCTAGGAAAACTCACTGAAGATTGATAACTATTTCCTTAATGTGACTGACATGTGTTATGTACATATGTATGTACTGAGTTATTGCGCCAATATTAGCGACACGTTTAGCGTGAAGCGCCTTTTTATATGTTATTGTATTGACGTCATTATATGAGTTGACTTCCGGTAATCTAAAATAAAACGTTATAGAAGAACCAGTGCAATCTTTTGATTATTTAGTGTTTACACAACAACATGTACACGTTTTTGCTGTTGTTTTTGAATATTTTATTATTTATTTTATTATTAATATTATACTTGTTTCACACTGTAATTTTAGTCATATTTTGGGTATTTTCCTCCTTTTCCAGATCATTTAAATGCGGAATTTCTTCATTTTGTCTTCAAATCAATGGATAACCCAGTATCTGTAGAGCATGAAGAACAAGTGACAGAGCTTCTTGTTAACTTTATACTGGCATTTAACCTACATTTCCATGTACCAGCTGATAATCTAGTCATGAAAGTGATAGAGGAGAGGAAGACTGTAAAGGTTTTCACAGAAAAACTTCTTCTTCTCTTCAACCGAGACGGTAAGTAGTTATATGTTATAATTGGTAAATTTATTACAGACAGTTTGATTGTTATTAAAAAGTAAATTGTTTTCGGCATATGGAAATTTCTGTCTAGTCAGACATTTAAAGAGTTATAACATCCTTATAGAAATACAACATTTATAGAATGATAATTAATATTTAGCATTGCTATCAAAATTCAATTGTTTTTCATTATACATTGATAATACAGTAAAAAATTTGAAAAAGTATTGGGATTTGGGGACTGCATCAGCCATGTGACACTACAAGCTAATATGTTTTAAAGTTAGTCTTAAGAATTATTGTGATTATAATGTAATATTGGCATTATTCAACTCTTGAAACTGTTACAGAGGACCCGGTGCAGATGTTTGAACATCAACCCCAACCTGCCAACTCAGTGATGAAGATGTTACAGGATATGTACAGTTCACCAAGCACAGCTGATATACTCTACACAAACGATGCCAGAGTTCTCATCGATATAATCATGAGACATCTAATTGATCTTCCACCAGGGAATATGGTAAATTTTTTGTTCTGATCTTTGTTGAATTTTCAAATGAGCCGCACCATGACAAAACCAACATAATTGGTTTGCGCCCAACATAGATCCAGACCAGCCTTCACATCAGGGCAGTCTGATCAGGATCCATGCTGTTCGCTTACAAACCATATTACAAGTACAGAAACTGATAGTGAACAGCATGGATCCTGATCAGACTGTGCGGATGCGCAGGCTGGTCTGGATCCATGCTTATGTTGGTTTTGTCAGGGCGCGGCTCAAATGCTTTTCTCGTTTCAACTCATGACGAAAGAAAATATAAAAATGTCCATTGCCATGATGAATTCTGTTAAGTTCACGGGAATTTCCTAAGATAAGAATTATGTCAGTGCTTTTTTTCATGGATGTATGACCAAATTGATAATATAACAGGATGAACTGTTTGATAAACAAAGGGTACATTAAACAGTAAATAGAGGATATTGAATGAGTGTAAGTTCAATACTGAATTTATTGCACAAGTTGAATAAAATTATATTATGCGAGCCTCTGGCGAGCATAATATTATTTTATTCAACGAGTGCAATAAATTCAGTAATGAACTTACACAAATTTAATATTCTATTTATCACATACCCAAAATAAAGACCGTTTAAAGTGAAATAAGAGTCATTTTTCATTGACGCGCCTATAGTATAACGCTAACATTTAGCGCGTCTTTACACTATGTTTGTATAACGCTAATGACGTCACGTCAAAATATATGCACGACCGTGCAATACCATATTTACGGAGTCGCAAAATCGGCACGGGTGTGTGATAAAAAGGTTTTATTTTTTATGCCACCGCAGCATCTGCGATGCGGTGGCATATAGCGATTCACCTGTGTGTGTGTGTGTGTGTGTGTGTGTTTGTTTGTTTGTGTGTGTGTGTGTGTTATATAGATTATATAGTGAACTTAAAAGATCTTCTTGTGAAAAACCACTTGTCCAATTTCAACCAAACTTGGCAAGATTGATCCTTGGGTGAAGGGCTCCCAAAGTTGTTCAAAGAATTTCATTCCATGCAGAAATCTGGTTGCCATGGCAACCAAAAGGAATTATAAGAATAAATTTAAAAAATCTTCTTGTAAAGACCCAGAAGGCCTAGAGCTTAGATATTTTGCATAAGGCATTGTCTGGTAGACCTCTACCAAGATTGTTCAAATTATAGCCCTGGGGTCAAAATCGGCCCCGCCCCGGGGGTCATTGATTTTCACTATAAGTACATATAGTAAAAACTTAAAATACCTTCTTGTAAAGACCCAAAAGGCCCAGAGCTTAGATATTTTGCATAAGGCATTGTCTTGTAGACACTTACTAAGATTGTTCAAATTATAGCCCTGGGGTCAAAATCGGCCCGCCCGGGGGGTCATTGAATTTCACTATATGTACATATAGTAAAAACTTTAAATACCTTCTTGTAAAGATCCAAAAGGCCCAGAGCTTAGATATTTTGCATAAGGCATTGTCTTGTAGACCCTTACTAAGATTGTTCAAATTATAGCCCTGGGTCAAAATCGGCCCCGCCCCAGGGGTCATTGATTTTCACTATATGTACATATAGTAAAAACTTAAAATACCTTCTTGTAAAGACCCAAAAGGCCCAGAGCTTAGATATTTTGCACAAGGCATTGTCTTGTAGAAACTTACTAAGATTGTTCAAATTATAGCCCTGGAGTCAAAATCGGCCCGCCCGGGGGGTCATTGAATTTCACTATATGTACATATAGTAAAAACTTAAAATACCTTCTTGTAAAGATCCAAAAGGCCCAGAGCTTAGATATTTTGCATAAGGCATTGTCTTGTAGACCCTTACTAAGATTGTTCAAATTATAGCCCTGGGGTCAAAATCGGCCCCGCCCGGGGGGTCATTGCATTTCACTATATGTACATATAGTAAAAAACTTAAAATACCTTCTTGTAAAGACCCACAAGGCCTAGAGCTTAGATATTTTGCATAAGGCATTGTGTATTGAACCTCTAGCAAGATTGTTCAAATTATAGCCTTGGGGTCAAAATAGGGCCCGCCCCGGGGGTCATTGGTTTTCTTTATATGTATATTGTAAAAACTTACAGTAAAAACTTTAAAAAAATTTCTTCTAGCAATTGACAAATGCTAGAGGTTAGATATTTTGCATGAAACATTGTATAGTGAACCTCTAGCAAGATTTTCAAATTATAGCCCTGGGGTCAAAATTGCCCATGCCACGGGGGTCATTGATTTCCAATATATACATATAGTAAAAAATCAAAAAATCTTATCGTTTGAAGGTACAAGGTTTAGAGCTTTAATATTTGTTAAATGATATCATCTATAGGTACTCTACCAAAGTTGTTGAAATTTTGCCTCTTGTGTCAAAATTAGCCCCGCCCCGGGGGCCATAGGTTTTCCTTATATGTGTATAGTAAAAACTTAAAAAATCATCTTCTCTAAATTAACAAAGGCTAGAGTTAAGATATTTTGCATGAAACATTAAGTATTGAACCTCTAGCAAGATTGTACAAATTATAGTCCTGGTGTCAAAATTGGCCCCACCCCCAGGGTATTTGATTTTCACTATGTACATATAGTAAAAAATTAAAAAATCTTCTTGTCTGAAGGTACAAGGCTTAGAGCTTTGATTTTGGTACATAATATCATCTATGGGTTCTCTACTAAAGTTGTTTTAATTATGCCCCTAGTGAAAAATTGCCCTGCCCTAGAGGCGATAGTTTTCCTTATATGTATAAAGTAAAAACTTGAAAAATCTACTTCTCTGAATTGACAAAGGCTAGAGGTTAAGTTTATGACATGAGACTTTGGGAAGTGAACCTCTACTTAGATTGTTCAAATTATAGCCCTGGGGTCAAAATTGGTTCCGCCCCGGTTCATTGATTTTCATTATGTACATAGTAGTAAAAACAAAATAAAAACTATTTTTGTCTGAAGGTACAAGGCATAGAGCTTTGATGTTTGCTATATAATATCATCTGTAGGTCCTCTACCCAAGTTGTTCAAATTTTTCCCCTGGTGTCAAAATCGGCCCTGCCTGGGGGCAGTGATTTTCATTATATCACATAATAAAAACAGAAAATAAAACAAATGTTTTCTGAATGGGAGAAAGCTACAGCTTAAATTTATGACTTGAAATGTTGTTTGGTGGACCTGTATCAAGATTGTTTTGAATTAAACCCTTGGGTCAAAATTTTGCCTTGCCCAAGGGGACAGTGACCTACTTTCTTGTCCTTTGATGTACAGTAATGAAATTTTGACCATGTGCACAGTTTTAGTTGTAAAACTGAACTTTTATATCAAGTGACCTAGATTTTGATTATGTGACTTACTTTCTTGTCTTTTGATGTACAGCTATGAAATTTGAACCATGTGCACAGATTAAGATGTAAAGTGAACTTTGATATCAGCTGACCTAGATTTTTACAGTGTCTTACTGTGTTGTCCTTTGATGTAGTCATGAAATTTAGGCTGTCGTCTGCTTATCTTTCTGCAAGGGAATGCTAGCAGTTTATAGTAATACGTTGGTTTTGCATTGGTACCGACTCATCCAGACAATAATATACAAAGTTAATAAAAGACCCGTTCTTCAACAGTATTTGTTCCTACACTTCTATTGAGTGTTGTATTAATGCGGTGGCATAGCATTTTCTCAAATGCAATCTTGTTTCTCTTAAACAAAGAAAAATGCTTAGAAATCAACGTGTTTTGTAATTTTAACAGAGTATATGAAATATTGAGATGTTTTCACAAATTTTCCGTTGTTGTTTTAACATAAATATAGAAGTGTTCTCCTTTAAAAACAAACAAAACAAAAGTTAGGATCTTATGCCTCAAGGTTCATAGCTACCTTTATGTATATTGCAGCTGAGGAGTGCCCATCTGAAGTTAATGCAGCTGTATTTACAAAATGCCGACTATGTCGAGCACAAACATAGATATGCCGAGCTGAGTGAGTGTTTACACAGAATACACACAGAGGAGGAAGACACGGGGGATGATAAACATTTGGTGGCATATATCTTTACACAGCTCAACTTGTTTAATGATTAATGGGTCTGATTCCATGTTAATTTTCCCCTTAAACTTTGTTATTTTAGACTCAAAGTCTTTCTTAGTATGATAGATGCATCAAGGAAGGTGTTTGGAAAGTTTGAAAAAAGAGATTTATTACTGATTTTAACTTATTTCTGTAAATCTGGCCGATATTGATATATTTATATATTATATTTGTAAACAAAGTAAGATTTTATGCTATTTATGTATTACCTGTAAACATTTTTATCGTCTAAAGATTTGCTTAGTTTTTTATTGACAACAAAAGTTTTTGGGGGTTTTATTACAAAATCTGATTTTATCATCAATACTTTTTTCTTTTTTTTTAAAAAATAAAGTTTTTAATCATAATATAAATTATGGGGTTTAATCAATTTTGTGCTCAAACTTTTATTTTTACTTTTCGGATATACAATTATGGTTGTTTGAGTAATCTTGCTCAGAAAATTATATTCTTCGAATCAACTTTTCCAGAGAATTATAAAATAGATACACAAACATGAACAACAAAATATATATAATATATAGAGGATATTGAATGAGTGTAGTTTAATACTAAATTTATTGAACAAGTTGAATAAAATCATATTATGCGAGCCTCTGGCGAGCATAATATTGTTTTATTCAACGAGTTCAATAAATTTAGTATTGAATCTACACGAATATAATATTCTTTTTATCACATACATAAAATAAGAACAGTAAACTGTTAAAATGAGTAATTTTTCAACGACGCGTTTATAGTGTAACGCTAACATTAGCGCGCTTTAACGCTATGTTTATATATAGCGCAAATGACGTCACGTCAAAGTGTTATTACACTAGTGTAATATCGTTTTTATTAAATGGCTTTATTACACTCCTGCGCCGCGGTTTATGTGATAAATAGAGGATATTGAATGAGTGTAAGTTCAATACTGAATTTATTGCACGAGTTGAATAAAATTATATTATGCGAGCCTCTGGCGAGCATAATATATTTTTTTTTCAACGAGTGCAATAAATTCAGTAATGAACTTACACGAATTTAATATTCTATTTATCACATACCCAAAATAAAGACCTTTAAAGTGAAATATGAGTCATTTTTCATTGACGCGCCTACAGTATAACGCTAACATTTAGCGCGTCTTTACACTATGTTTGTATAACGCTAATGACGTCATGTCAAAATATATGCACGGCAGTGCAATACCATATATACGGAATCGCAAAATCGGCACAGGTGTGTGATAAATTGATAAACAGTGTTCAAATGTTTCAGAAATTATGCTTTTAGATAAATTCTGGAACATTTTAACTTTAAACTGTGCCAAAAGAAATAATTGTGTTTTTATGCCACCACAGCATCTGAGATGCAGTGGCATATAGTGATCAGCTGTGTGTGTGTTTGTGTGAGTGTTTTTGTATGTTTGTATGTATGTATGTATGTAAAGATTAAATATTGAATTTAAAAATCTTCTTCTAAAAAACTATATGTTTCGATTTCAACCAAACTTGCCAAGATTGTTCCTTGGGTTTCCAAAGTTGTTTAAAGAATTTGATTCCATACTGAAATCTGGTTGCCATGGCAACCTAAAAGAATAATAGAATTTAAAAAAACAAAACTTACTTCTCTAGAAACAAAAGGCAGGATGCTTATTTTCCACAGAAATCTGCAGATTTCAAGGACGCCTTGACCATTTTTGTGATGTAAATTTCTATCTCCGACTTTGCTACCGTCTATTGTCTGATTGTAAATATTTAGACCGTACCGCCTTTAGGATATGTTCAGTTACTATTCTTATTTTAGTAAGCCAATGAACGATAGCGTTACCTATACCAACCAATCATAACGTGGCGTCTTTCTGTAGTTGAAGAAAAAAAAAATGTCGGCCAATTAGCAAAAGTGATATTAGATAATGAAAATGTTTGATAAACATTCCTTTTCCTCTTTTTTTTTAAAATAACCTGTTGGATCTCTGCCTAGGGCATAGATATTTTACACAAGGCATTGGCTTGTGGACCTGTACCAAGATTGTTCAAATTATAGCCCTGGGGTCAAAATTGGCCCCACCCTAGGGGTAATGTGTTTTCCTTATATGTATATAGTCAAAATTATTGAAAAAAATATTTTTCTTCAAAATTACAAGGGCTAGAGCTTAGATATTTAGCATGGAACATTGTCTTGTGAACCTTTATTAAGATTATTCAAATTCTAGCTTTGAGGTCAAAATAGTTTAATAATGAAAAGGAACTCAGACTGGAATGATTTTCGTACAGGTACATGTTTTCCAATATTTTTCTATAAAAAGATTTAATAGCTTGGAGTTAGTCTAAAGGTTTTTTTACCTCTAGCAAGAGAAATATTTGCTTTTCAGAAATATTTATGAAACCTTTGAGGTCATGACCTTTAGCAAGAGAAATGTTTGCTCTGCACGGATATTTATGAAATGACTTGATCATTTTTAAGGACATTATGATTCACACCATGTATATAATGATGATGATAAATTGTAATTGTTTTTTATGGTTTCTGAAATAGGTAATGCTTAATTGAAAAGATAGAATTTAAGAAAAAAACTATAACTGTATTTCAAAAAGCCGTCCAGTTAGCTCAGTAGGTAGAGTGTTGGACTGTGAATAGGGCGACCTGGGTTCGGATGGCGCATGTCACTTTAATTGCGATTGATCATGAAATATTTTCTGTATGTACAGAAGTTAAGTTCCTTAAGTAAATGAAGGCAACTAGTACTCGTAAACTGCTTGACAGCCTGCGCAGGACCGATGCGGTGGCTGAACTGAGCTCTGGTAAATTCAATGTGGCTTACTGACGTGATCCAGAGTGAAAACTACCAACACAACCACCACCACTGTATTTCAAAGTTTAATGCAGCTACATGTATGTAATACAGTAAATACCTTAATTTCAATTTTTGAACCAATTAATATACTATGGCCTTTGTATCTGACCCTTAGACACATCTGCACATTGTCTTTCATTTGACATGCTGAAATATGACCTAGACCCCCAAATTCACTAGACACTACTGCATTATGTATGGAAACATGAGAAAAAAATCTACATCTGTTTTCTATTATTTAGCGTTGAATTAATGTGGTGGCAGAGCATTTTTTTCATAAATTCAATCTTGTTTTAAATTGTGTTTCTTCCTTAAAAATGAATTAATATCCGAGTGTTAAAATTATGTACATTCCAAAACTTAAACAACTCTGTGAAATCATGTTCTTACCCAAAATGTTTTAGTGAAAAATGCATACTTTTATGCAATTATTACAATTTATACAATTATCCAATTCTAACAGGACCCGCATTTTTCCCTATTGAACATTGAAGAACCGAAAGTGTGATTATGCTATAAAATCACTGTTTGACATTCTATATTTAGACATGTGACATAATCATTATACACTTGACGTAACCACTGAAAATGTGACGCGCGTACAATAAGTACAGAAACAAATCAGGCGCATTTTAGCTTAATATCAGGTACGACAGCATTTATTTGTTGATGTCGTGTTAGAATCAAAATAATATATCCAAATTGGTGATTTTATTGCTTGATAAAATCACTGTTTGTCGTTCAGATGCGCATCATTATATCACTCGGACTACACCCTCGTGATATAATTCCCTGCATCCGAACTGGAAACAGTGATTTTATTGAGCAATAAAATCACAGTTTGGGATATATTATTTCTTAAGTAACTTTAAGACAGTGAAATGTCAACAAGTAAAATAAAAGAAAGTTAAGAACTTTTGCATACAATTTATTAGTTTTATATGGTGTAACTCCAGATAAGCAAAATCATAGTCATTAAAATGCTCAATTTTGTTTTTGACGTTAAATAATATATTTATTATCAGTAATATTAATATGTCCTTATCCTACTGAATTTATGTAATGGATTTTACCTGCTTTGAAGTTTGGAAGAGTCTACTCAAAGTTTGAGGGGTTTCAATTATTGAGCTACCATCTCTATAGAGTCTAGTCACACTGTACAGGCCTGCAGGCTTCTTCAAGGTTTAAAGTTGATAATGGAAAGTTTGAGGGAGTATAGATATTGAGCTACCATCACCATAGAGTCTTGTTAGACTTCACAGAAGTGGCTGCTGGCCAAGCTCTATAAGGGTAGCAATTAAAGGTAACTTACAATGAATCCCAAGAGGTTAAAGCAGCACGCCTCCAGATTCATGTTAATTTTCATGAAAATTTTGGAAATATATTTAAAAGTAAAACATTGTACAATAAAGCAATTTATATATTGCGATCGGCAATAACAATTCAAGAAAATTACCAAAAAGTTGTCAACATACGCAAAAGTTAGTAATGCAGTAGAAATATTGTGATAAATACTGCAAAAGCAGTCTTAAACCGCATATAACATGTAAAATATCACATGGATCTTGAATATTTCTACTTTTCTTAAAATTTTAGTACATTTTTCTCAATATTGATTTTCATGAAATATTTTGGCTCATCTGGAGGTGTGCAGCTTTAAGGGTTAAAGTTGATAATGGAAAGTTCAAAGGTCAGAGCTGAGCAAGTTCATTGAACACCTTGAGCAGGGTAAATGTTAACATTTTAAAGTAAAAGTTAGAATCACAGACTATGTTGACAGATACTGGTCCAGACATTTTCAATACAAGACCTATCTGTATGTTTTTATGTAACTTGTATGAATTTATCTTTGAATATTATCATGCTAAAGACAGGCACTCATGTTGAAAGCAAGAAATTTTTGGGCTAGAATTAATCAATTGATTTGAACAGTTTAGTTATAGAAAAACAGATGAACAGATTTTAAGGAGACGCCATGTTTTCATTTGTTTTTCAAAACATTGTGTTATCCTTATGTTTGAACTGAAGTGTTTTCCCTAAAAAGTAAACAATTAATGGCATATTCAATATGTCATCAGATTTGTTTTTTCTGTGTAATGTAAAAAAAATCTGTATTGTGAAAAGTGCACACTTTTGTATGAACAGATTTGCACATGGTTGCACTTTGTCTAGTATTATACAAGTCTTCCATTTGTTGTAAGAGTTAGATATCTGTATGTGTGTGATTAAGTCAACTTGTTGTTGTTGTTTAGATAAATGTATTTTTCTCTATTTCAGCACATACAATTTTAACTCACAATTTATATTTAGGTTGTGTTGTTTTCATTAGCATGCAACTGACAATTGCTTCACTACCTAATTTGTCAATATTTACCTATACATTTGTACATCTACCTGCTAAAGATTACCCAGGCGTGTGCACATTTTTACTGATATTTCAATTTTGTTTTTATCCTCAAGTCTCAAATATGTCAGTTATTATGTAAAATCTTATAGATCAAATTGGTTAATATTTAGGGCATAGTTGTAAAATTGACAAATTGTTGAATATTAGATTTAAGACAATGTCTCAGACTAGTTAAGATAATAATCGCGACACCTGCACATTTGTTTAAGTTATGATTTATGAAAGCTATGCAACTGTGATAGTTGTATAACATCTGAAGGCTGTCAGGGCATGCTTACACAGATACTGTCTACACCATTCCATGTTGTTGTTTATTTTTACTTTATTTATGATATTACTCAAAATCTAGTCACAGTTGAGACTTAAAGTATTGTTAAAAGTGTTGTAAGCAATATTTGACCTTTTTTGTCAAATAACTTAACCCTTAACCTGCTGGAACCAAAAGTGATCAGCCTTTGCCACCAGTATAGAACCAGGCCAGCCTGTACATCCTTGCAGTCTGACCAGGCTCTATACTGTTGGCAGCTCAATTTTTGTTTTTGATATTGAAATCCCTTGAACTTTGATTAAATGGCAAACTGAACCTGCTTGATGAAGAACATTATGTTGCTTACGTTATAAAAACATCACACTGTATCTACATCATTTAGTGTCACAAAAACTGGCCTAAAGGACAAGAGGTTTTAAATATACAATGTACATGTATTATGACATTTTGGTGATTACAGTGGCCTTCATTATTGTGTTAAAAAATTAAGAAAAACATTTTGCATTTTAAGACATACACTTCATGAACAAGATCATGTATATTGGGGCCATTAGAATAATAGTAATTCTTTATTAGTTCTTACATTTGAACAAAACTGTCTTTTATTAGTGAACAATAATGCAAGATATTTGATAATATCATTGACATATAATAAAGGTAATAACTTGAGAATTATAAACACTAATGAATTAAAATTAATCTTGAGTAATTGTTTGGTAATAGTTTGGTATTATCGTAATATATACCTGAAGTCACTCTTGGGTTTTTTTATCTTTAATTGACTAATAAAATTATTTTGGCATAATAGCATATAAAAACACCATAACATACTCTTAATTATTAAATTTCTACTTTCTAAATCATTTTTATTCATTCTGCAAACAAATGTACTTGAAACTGTTATGGTATAATGGTTAATGCTTTTTTTTAATGTCATTTTGTACACAGATGAATAGCAAGATAATAATATCCAAGAGATTTCTGTATGTGATACATCATATGAACAAAAACCATTCTTGAAAATGCATTGTCACATTTGGGATGTTTTAGGAGATTGAAAGATTATGTTACACTGATCCCTTACTTTATGGGTTATAAACAATTTACAGATGTAACAGCCTTTGTCTGAATCCTTATCAATTCTACTTTGTCGGCAAGGATTTGTAAAACTTTGTTACTAGGCAACCAAAAAACACAGATTTAACATCAGAACTAACCAAATGTTATGCAACATAGATAATGATATTACTGGATGTGTTCTTGATACAAATTATGTTGTTAATGTTTTTTTGTTATTTATTTTGTAGCAATAAAACCCATTGGAAAAAAAGAACAAGCTTTTGTATTTATTTAGATTTCTATCCTTAATGCGATGTTTATTCGTTTTTACAGACCAGACATCTTTTATTACACAACAGGGAAATGGTATTACGGTTAAAAGTAATAATAATACAAGTGTCATAATGACTTTGGATACAATTTGCATACAATATATTAATGTAAAATGAATCAGCTGATCTGTAAAGAGCATTATTTTATGAAATAAATCTTTTTTTAAGGTTTTCATATTCCTGTAGCAGGGATTAAAGATATACATGTACTATGGTCAAATTGATACTAGAAAATACTGATAATTGCTACACAATCTTTTTGTATAAATAAATAAACATAATTTGACTTCACTCAAACCATTGCAAACCTGGGACATACAATTTGTTATTGTATGTCCCAGCACAAACTAAGTATGTTTAAATCCACCACACTATTGGTGGTCACAATATGAACATATAGTGTCATTAAAAATAGCAGGTTTTTTTTTAAAGAGAAGATCAACTTTACTTCACCTGTAATAGGGTGCACAGCTTCCCATACATAGTTTGTTTATTATTTTATTCAAATTAGACATATTCAGTAAGAATTCCATGGATTTCAATCAATTCCTGTGATGAAAATTTTTTACTCAATGATGAAAATAATATATTTTCAAGTGCTTAAATAATTGCAAATACAACATCATGTCTAACAAGCTTTGAATTCATTTAAGCAGACCACAATTTGGCGGCTAGAGATGACAGATTTCTGTACGAGTTCTTTACGTGGAGATATTATGACTTTTTTAATTTATGGCAAAATGATGACAAGAACTATTTTGTTTATTATACCCCCAAAAACGAAGTTTGGGGGGGTATATAGGAGTCACCCAGTGGTCGGTCGGTCGGTCCAGACGTCCGTTGCATTTTCCTTGTCCGGAGCATAACTTGAAAACTAATGGTTGGAATTCAATATAACTACATACAATGGTCAAGCACATTGAGAGGAAGTGCAGTGCACAAGAACCATAACTCTATCTTGACTAATTACAGAGTTATTGCCCTTTGTTACTTTTCCTTGTCCGGGGCATAACTTGAAAACTACTGGTTGGAATTCAAAACAACTTCATACAATTGTGAAACACAATAAGGGGAAGTGCAGTGCACAAGAACCATAACTCTATCTAAAGTAATTACAGAGTTATTGCCCTTTGTTGCTTTTCCATTGCTTTTTTTTTTGTCTGTTGCATAATTTTCCTTGTCCGGAGCATAACTTGAAGACTAATGGTTGGAATTCAATATAACTACATACAATGGTCAAGCACATTGAGAGGAAGTGCAGTGCATAAGAAACATAACTCTATCTTGACTAATTACAGAGTTATTGCCCTTTGTTACTTTTCCTTGTCCGTGGCATAACTTGAAAACTACTGGTTGGAATTCAAAACAACTTCATACAATTGTCAAACACAATAAGGGGAAGTGCAGTGCACAAGAACCATAACTCTATTTAAAGTAATTACAGAGTTATTGCCCTTTGTTGCTTTTCAATTGCCTTCTTTTTTTTGTCCGGAGCATAACTTGAAGACTAATGGTTGGAATTTAATATAACTACATACAATTGTCAAGCACATTGAGAGGAAGTGCAGTGCATAAGAACCATAACTCTATCTAAAGTAATTACAGAGTTATTGCCCTTTATTACTTTTCCATTGCTTTCTTTTGTCCGTACCATAACTTGAAGACTAATTGTTGGAATTCATTATAACTTCATACAATGGTCCAGCACATTGAGTGGAAGTGCAGTGCACAAGAACCATAACTCCATTTTGACTTATTACAGAGTTACTGCCCTTTGTTTCTTTTCCTTGTCCAGAGCATGACTTTAAAACTACTGGTTGGAATTCAAAACAACTTCATACAATGGTCAAGCACAATAAGGGGAAGTGCAGTGCACAAGAACCATAACTCCATCTTGACTAATTACAGAGTTATTGCCCTTTGTTACTTTTCCTTGTCCAGAGCATAACTTGAAAACTACTGTTTGGAATTCAGTACAACTTCATACACTGTTGTCAAGGACATTCAAAGGAAGTGCAGTGCACAAGAGCCATAACTCCATTTTGACAAAATACAGAGTTACTGCCCTTTGATACTTTTCCTTGTCCAGAGCATAACTTAAAACGTACTGGTTGGAATTCAAAACAACTTCATACAATGGTCAAGCACAATAAGAGGAAGTGCAGTGCACAAGAACTATAACTCTATCTTCTATAGAGTTATTGCCCTTTGTTCTTTTTCTTTGTCTTTCTGGACTTATTACAGAGTAATTCAATTAAACTTCATCAATGGCCAACCACATTGAAAGGAAATGCAACATACATGAACCACAATTATCTTTAATTGCCCACAACCATAACTCTATGTTTCAATTCTTTTACAAGGTATTCTGTTACTAGTAACATCCTCATTTCCGAAGCAGACTTGTGGGGGTATTAATCACATTTAGTGATAGTTCTAGTTTTTCATATTTTTATTTCTTTTCCTGCACCATTAATAAAACACATTTATAAATAGTAACTAAATTATACTTGACAACATCTTAAATGTAAAATGTGTACACCATAAACAAGCAACATTCATAATGTTACTTAACTAAGAAAAGTGCCATTTTTCAATCATCTAAAAAAGGGCCAGGATGTTCAACAGAGAGGCTTAATTTTCACAAATCAATAATGTAGTATTAAACAAAATCTTAAAAAAATTCTGATGCCTGAATTACCTTGACCAAATTAATAGAAATCCCAACCCAAGGGAAGAATTAAATTGATTGTACCAACATACCAAGTTTGTGAGACATTGGTGAATGAAAGTACTTGGAGAAATGGTTAAAATGTTGGATGTTGGCAGAAAGGAATGACAAAGTGGCGACTTAAATTCCCAATCAAGTTTTTTTTACTGAGCTATAAAAAGTTCAAATTAGCTATACCAGAATAATTTCAATCATTGAACCTCTCTGTATTCTGTGATGTCAAAAAATCTTAACATAAGATAAATGTATCAACTATTTGCACTAATAATTACAACTGAGTATTTTACAATATCGCTTCTTCGATTCAATCAATAATGAATACAATCAACAGCATACTGAAATGTCTATAAAAATATGTTTGAGGTGGGCTTACAATTCTCTTATGCCTGGAAAAAGTCAGACTTATTTAGTTTCCTATAAGGGTTTAAACAAAGTCTATATTTTATAAACCTTAAACCTGGATACATGTATATGATAAAATTTCACCGACTTCATGTACATGTATAAGGAATTACTACTCATCACATCAGATCAAGAACAGGTACTTGGTTAAACTCTTAATCTGTACAACAATTATATTGATATACTCAGTTCCTATGATATCACGGGATCTATGATATCACTAATCAGAGTATTTACATTTTCTTTGACTGCTAGTAAAAGCAACACACAATGATGCTAATATTTTTTAAACTGGCTAACTAAATTTATTTTCATCTGCCAATAAATTAAATTTTATGAATAACAAATATATTCATGGAAAGAAAACTATTTTATAAAATCTTCATATTTGACTCCTATTTCCCTTAAATGTTTTTACACAGTCAATAAAAATATGTTTTAATCACATATTCTGACATATCTTCTGTTCATATAGTTTGAATTTTATAGCAAGATAACTGTTGGAGGTTTTTCACAACTTAACTTGAAAGTTTTAACCAATCTATCCTTCCATACTTGATTTTTTGGGGATTACCGTGATACCATATTAACCTCCTCTGAATTTAACCAATATGGCCGACATTGGAAATAGTTTAAAAAGGTCATTTAAATTGGTTCTTTTGAAATAATTTTTTGACAAACAGTTCTGGAAAAGGTTCACTTATAAATAAGATAGAAGAAAAATCTCATTCATGTATGATATTTATATTTGAATATTTCCCGATAAACGTTAAGTACCGTGATATCATAGAACCCCGGGCTACATTTTGTATATAAATTTAGAAGAAAGATGATTATATCTTCAATGTCATTTGATTCAACCAAACTTAATTAGCACGGCCATTGGAAAAATAATGGATTGTAACATATCCAGTCAAAAAATATAAACAATAAATTGATAATATTTCATCAAAAAATGTATACAATAATTGATTATATAATTATCACGTGTAATTATCACATGTGATGATTCACCAGATGAAGGTAAGACATATTGATTACCTGTGCTGACAGATGAAAACAATTAACATTATGTTCAAAAGATAAATTATCAGAATTTACATGATTTACACATACATTCAATGTTGCCAACAAATCAATACATCACATTGAATAAATAAAAACAACAAGCAAAATATGACATTCAACAGGTATCAGGGTAAACAATGAGATAAAATATTGGAATAAAATTATATTATGCAAGCCTCTGGGAAGCAAAATATTATTTTATTCAACGAGTTCAATTAATTCATTAATTGCCTTCTAACAGTTAGCCAATCTTTAAGCTATGTTTGTATAACAGAAATGATGTCATGTAAAAATATATTCACTGCTGTGCAATACCATTTTCACAGAATCACAAAATCGGCACGGGTATGTGATAAAATATTATATTGAATATTGCTATTACACTGTCAAACTTTAAAAACTGAATAAAGAATTTAATTAAACATAATTAAATATGTAGAAATGAACAGTTAGAATTGCATATTTATTTGATCTTTATTTTAAAGATTTTAGTCACGACTTAGTAACTCGTGGCCACGACATAGTATCTCGTGGCCACGAGATAAATAAAAACACACACGTCACCTTTGTGCCACCGTACAGGAATGATGTTCTCTGTTTCTTTTTAATTTTTACCTTGCATTACAAACAACATTTAATACTGCAGTTAAGAAATTATGAAATGTACAAAATAATCCATTATTCCTAAAAAATGCCTACAATCAAATACATGCAGTGCAATATAGATACTTCGGAACTCTGGAAACGTGGGTCTTTCCTAATGTTTTTAATCTTTTTAATGTTTCAGGCTTTTCTTGGTGTACTTTTACATTAACATCTTTTATTTGTTATTACAGTTTGAGGAATAATGACATATGTTGAAAATTTAATTGAAATACAGCAGGTTTCTGTGAAGAAAAGATAAGTATTCGAATGTAGAATGCATTAATCTCTGTGGGCAATTTTTTAAACAAGTAATATTAATGTTTTCCGATTGCACAATGAAAGGATTATGTCATTAAAATGTCAGATGTAATTTGTCCTTTATTTTAAAATGTTTAAGCATTGAATTTTGGAATGTTCATGTTTTAATTCAAAGAATTTCAATCTCAAAATACTACATGAGATGCCAGACATATACTGTGTTCAAACTTCATAGATATGCAAGCATGACTAACACTAATACTGAATTAAACAGTTGACTATTAATGTATAAAGAATGACCAGATTGCATGAATGTGCCTGCTTGCTGACCACTATACTGTTGGAACAGGCCTTGCATTTTGTCTACTTACCAGACGTAGAGAACTAAATATCTTAACTAAGTTCAACATTCTCTCAATATAATTATGATACATTATTATAATGATAATGGCACACACTATTTTGGCACCCACACCATCATGTCACGTAATTTCATGATATTAGCAAACAAGTAAATAAATGCTGTTCAACTTAAAATGTTCATTTCTTGTTAATCCGAAGTATGTATAGGCCATATTTTTAAACCGTAAATTTGCATGCTTTGTTTCAAAAGAACTAATAAAAATTCATTTCCAAGAGTAAAATTTTACAAGTTATCAAACAAGTACATGGATATAATTACTAGACAACTTTATGTGTTTATTAATGTATGGATTTCTTAGGAGAAAGAAAAAACACTTCAATCAAAAAAGGATCTTGTACAAACATTTATCAGTCAGACTAAAGTATATATCTATATTTATTAATAAATTCATATACAAAATAACATCAGCTACATGCTAGATTTCACATTGACTAAAAATAAATGCCATATATTCTTTGACAACCCTTTGTGTAATCTATATTTTTTATCTTGAGCATAAAATGCTAAACCCTTATGTTACTGATTTTTATCATTACTTTGAACTGTCCATTAAAGTAAACCACTAGTATAAAATCTAGTCAGGCTGTGGGGATGTACAGGCTGGCTAGGCTCTATCCTGGTGGCATAGACAAGTCACTATTGCTGCATGTAAACTAAAGATAAATCTAGACCTTAACAGTACAGGAATAGTTAATTAATGTTAATTAATTAATATTAAAAAATAATGCGTATACTTTATGGAACACATGTTTTAACAAAAATAAATAAACAAAACAAATTGAAAAGTCTTCGCTCAAAATATAGACTCACCAAAACACAAAACTATCTGCATAAACATAGCATACTTAAACACAAATTTGTAGAAAATATCACAATTATTTCATACATAACAATTAAACATCGCTGTGCTGACTTTGACATGAGAGCATTACAAAAATATACAATATACACTTGTACTTGTCTATGTAAATAAATAAACATGATTTATTACATCATTTATGATATTTGGAATTCATGAGTATAGTAATTTTTTATATTTTCTTTTATGTTGCACCAACACTATAAAGGTTATATGGTGATTTTTCAACTTATCTGGTGGAGAAAGACCAAAAAATGCCAAAATATACCATGATTTTACCATAATATCTATATCTAAAATCTGATTGACTAAATTAATGAAAGGATTCTATTTGGAGGTATATTAGAATTTATTTTTTCTCACTAAATAAATAATGTGTAATCTTATGCTTAAATGAAAAACAAAACTAAAATTCCTTAGCAGAATAATTATAACAAGTATATAGTACAACATAGAAACTTAAAATGTCTCTTATTTTCATGTACATGTATATCTCTACAAAAGCACTACATGTGGTGTTAATGCTCGTCTGTTAAAAATTCTTTGTCAAAAGGGACATAACTCCCTTGCCTTACAACTGCACCTGGTACTGATTAGCAAGAATTCCAAGTTTCATGTTGATAACTTTTAAAATGTTTGAATAATGGGCTACATTAAAGTTTTTGCACAACTGCAAAGTAAATCTTAACAGCTCAACATATTCTAACATTTCAATAATTTTCTATAAGTGGTCACATAATGTACGGTATACAGGCACTAGAAAAGTGTATATAACTTCAGTAAAAATTTTATCTATTTCAATCTAATACTTGTTTTATTTTACCTATACAGTATGGTAAATTAATACATAAAAGTAAACTTGCGACAAGAGAGAACATCACATTACACATGATGCTATGATGATATTAATTTTAAACAAACAGATCTGTTCCTGAATTGATGACTTGTTTAATGATGACTCATTGCCCAAGCTGTCAATCAAACTTGAATCCCTTTGACTTTAGATCCTTTTTGGCATCCTCTATATCCTATAAAGATAAATCATTTAAACTATAAAGACATACATGATAACGTAGGAATATAAATACAACATGCTGGCAACTGGTAGAAAGTTCTCCAAATTGTCAGTATTTATTGTCTAAAAATGCAACCCTTGATTCTTTAACATGGAGCAGACCTATTTAAAGCTGTATAAAAATATACTATAAATGGGATGTTGCAAATGAAGGAAATAAGCTTTACAATAAGCCAAAGGAATTGTCAAAAAATTCAGGTTTTTCACCAATAATTTGGTTAATTCTTTCAGAAATGTCAGAAGCTTTGTGCACATAAGAATATTCCTCTATTACTTATATATATTAACACAAAAGAAACATATTCATTAATAACTAAATATGTTTGCAAAATTTAAAGTTACATTAAATAAATTTCTTAAAAAAAGAAATAGCGACATTTCATTAATAAATTGGGTTTCATATCGACTCCAGATCTTATTTTGGTGTCCAGACAACCAAAATGAGTTTAATGAGCATACAAATGTGCAACCTCATTGTGGCGAAATGGGAAGTACAATTTCTGTTTGCATGAGAAACTCCGCCTTCAGATCATCCGTACATCAATATTAAATCAACAAACATGACTTTAAGTGGCAGTCCTATTTTAACGGTATATTTTCGCATTGTAACGGATATTTTCATAAAAATTTAATCTTTTTTATGAGATGATTATTTTTTCTGAACCACAGGCCTAGTGCACCATGAAGCTTAAACGGTAAAAGTGTGTTTGCACAAGAAAATCTTATATTTGCTGTGTTCCGGATAGCAACTATAACACCGTGACGTAGCGATACACGAGCTGATTATAGTCTTCATTTGCATGTTAAAATTCGTATACGAACTTTAGTGTTACCGTGGGGTTTTCCATTTAAAATCCTAATTTATGAACAATATTTGATGAGATTTACAACGATACTGTTAAAAAGGTTAATGAAACTGTAGAATGCTTGGTTTTTAGGCCGACGGTAAAAATATTTTTACATATTTATTTAATGTAGCTTTAATAGTCTGACCTTATGGTCAAATTCAGTTAAAACTTTTTTAATGTATTGTCTACAGGGTGTTATGTCCAAGTTACATATGTGAAAAAACAGAGGGACATAATTAGGTAAAAAAGATATCAAATCACTAAACACCAGTAATTTGTCCTAACACTTCTGTGAAAGTATGGTTGAAATCTGATGAGAAATGTAGGAGTTGTGTACACAAGAAAATGCTGACATTCATTACTCTAATAACCAGTACTTTCTGTCAGAAAACCTGGTAAAAAACTGCCAATTGTTAAATATCAATCATATTCCAGTGTCTTCGATGTGCAGATATCACTTTTAGTTTTCCTACAGATAACTGCAATAATGAACTATCTTTGCCAGCAGTATGATGATATCTGTGCAGTCTGACCAGAATCTCAACTGTTACCTGACTTATCATAATAATGACATTGATATTGAATTCATTAAAATATACATAATGTATATGTATGAATTCTTTAAATATACATAGTGTATGAATTCTTTAAACATACATAATGTATAATAATTATGTACAATGGTATGGCCAATGGAAAGCAATGATATTTAGAGCATTGGAAATAAGATACCTACTTGTTTAAGATCTATTGAGTCTTGTAAACAGTCATTGAATGTTGCCACTCTGTAAGCTATGACAACCACGGAATACATCTGTAAAATTTAAAATACATTTATACAAGAGGGCCATGATAGTACTCGGATACTCGCCCCAGCCCTACATTAGAAGATGCTTCATGCTAAACATCTAAGATCTAGCTGGTCAAGTTTTTCTTTACACATATAGTTAAAAACAATGACACACCTGGGGCAGGGCCAGTTTGGACCCAAGGGCTTTTATTTGAACAATCTTTGTAGACACTTACTAGAAAATGTTTCATGCTTAATATCTGAACTCTAGATATTCGGATTTTTCGAAGAAGATTTTTAAGTTTTAGCTATACACATATAAGGAAAATTAATGACCCCCGGGGTGGGGCCAATTTTGACCCCAGGGCTTTTATTTGAACAAACTTTGTAGACACTTACTAGAAGATGTTTCATGCTTAATATCTAAACTCTAGCTATTTGGGTTTTTATCAAAGAAGATTTTTTAAGTTTTTGCTATACACATATAAGGAAAATCAATGACCCCCAGGGCGGGGCCAATTTTGACCCCAGGGCTCTTATTTGAACAAACTTGGTAGACATCCATTAGAACATGTTTCATGCTAAATATCTTAGCTCTAGCTCTTTGGGTTCTTTAAAAGAAGATTTTTTAAGTTTTTACTATATGCATATAGGGAAAATCAATGACCCCCTGGGGCCGGGCCAATTTTGACTCCAGGGCTTTTATTTGAACAAACTTGGTAGACACTCACTAGAAGATGTTTCATGCCAAATATCTAAGCTCTAGCTCTTTGGGTTCTTTAAAAGAAGATTTTTAAAGTTTTTTTCTTTTGGTTGCCATGGCAACCAGAGTTCTGCATGGAATTAAATTCTTTGAACAATTTTCAAAGGTGACCACCAAAGGAACATTTCTGTGAAGTTTGGATGAAATTGGCTTAGTGGTTTATGAGGAGATGTCATTTAAAGTAAAAGTTTACGGACGGACGGATGCCGGACGAAAAGCGATCACAATAGCTCACCCTGTCACTTTGTGACAGGTGAGCTAAAAAACTAGAACAAGATATATTACTAGTACAGTGTTTGGTGTAGATGATATAATCTAAAGTCCAAAAAGGCAAACATACAAGTTTTGCCTTTATTATTTCCGTCTTTGTTACAGCAAAAATGCTGAAACATAACAAATAAAGGCAGAAAGAGGATGCCTAATATGTGTTATTTTATCAAGTTCAATAAAAACTTACTATGAATTTATATTTTCTACTTGGTAGAACTGACTATCAAAAACGTAACAAGAAGATAAAAGTGCAATACATAATGTAGTAATACATTACTATGATAGTGTATACAACATAACAGTTATCATCAAATTATTTATACATCAAATTATATATTTTAATTTTGGTAGGTAAGTCTTTAGCCTATACTTGAATGCTAACAGAAATAGTGCAATTATGTTTAAATTGACAGGAGTTGGAGTTTATATTTCATTTCTTCAAATTCCCCCCTACCCCCCAAATAATACATGTATTACGTATAGAAAAAATTTTACCACTCACATATTATCTTTATTGTTAATGTTTTAATCTACAAGTTAATTCAGACTTTTCTTCAATTCATTTTTCTTGATACCAGTTCACATAGATATCACAACCTACTTTTAAGAAATCACAATACTTGTAAGTGAAAAATAGAACTACATTGTACATGTATAATTAAACTTTTGAATTAATAGCTAGTACAAAATAATTTTTTTTATTATATTCAATAAGGAAGTAAATGTAATTTTAATAATTTTATGATGTAAACATAAAAATTCAGTGCCTGCAGACATTTCACTAAATTACTCCATATCAGTGAATACAAAACATGGTTACCATGTCAATCATAAATTTCTCAAAAAAAAAAAAGATTTTAAAAATCTTTCACCATTACACTGCTGATTGTCTCAAACGGACTTTTCCAGATTTCATTTTGGAACTGCCCATTATCAATTATATGGGATATCAAGATGAAAATTTGAAATTGGTCATTCAACAGTATAGAGCCTTGTCAGACTATACGGATGTGCAGACTGGCCTGGTTCTATACTGGTGACACAGGCTTATCACACACCATGCTCAGGGTTAGAAATATTATCCCCACTTTTTTTTAAAATTCCAACAGACTCCTATGTTTCTCAATTTTAGGAAAAATATCTAAAAGTTTAAACTTTTTTCTTCTATTTTAAATTTTTCAGCAACATAAGTTGCCCATTTATTTTCCCCGTGATTGGTGCAGTGGGGTCAGAGAGCCATCCCCTACTGTACCTTACATTGATATTTCATGGTATATATCATCATATATTGATTAAATAGATACAATATTGATAAGCTAATAAAATCATTAATAGCAAAAATGGAACACATGTATCTAAAACTTACCGCAAAGGCAACTATCACAAACACTGGTAACTGAAACATAACATAGATATTTATCATTACTACAGAATTTGTAAAATTAAATGATATATTAAATGTTATTTTTCAGATAGAAATTATTCGCTCATAATACGAGTGCAAAATAATAAGAAACAAATCTATTCAAAAAGTTTTATCTCATTAAAAAGTTTCCTGTTGAAAAAGCTGTTAACTATTGGCAAAACACATGTACAAAATAATTATTATACAGGTAACATTGTATTTTCTCATCTAACTTGAAAAAAAAAGAACATTGAACTATCATTCTTTCACTTCAACAGGACAAAGTCGATATAACTTAACAAACAGGTGCTGAGACACCTTTACATCAAGTAATATCTTTAACGGCCTTGTCCATCTTTCAATATAGACAAAACCATTCATAATATTTACAGATTCGTTTTTTTTCAAATTGTCTGAATGGCAAACAGTGCAGACCAGCCTAGATGTGCCAGCTGATCTTGACAAAGAACAAAAGCTTAGTATTCTTCTTCTGGTAACTCTTGTTCACAACATGCGAGCTCAATCAACCGGAACCTCTCTTTTCTTCCATATACATACAATCTGCCCATCTTACAAGAGTAAGGATTCATATCATTATATCCCTATATTAATGTTCTTAAACGTATCGGCAATGTCCACCGAATCCCCCAATGATGTCATCCAAGGGAGACAACTTGAATTCGGACTTAAAAGAAAGGGTTTATAAACAAATAAATAAAGCATCTTTAAAACAAAATCTTACAAAGAGAATGATGTCTTTTGTTGAATCATTTATATCGGAGTCTATGTATCCTAGGAGAAGACCAATCCATAGTGCAACAAATGTCCCGCCAACAAATAACCATTGAAACAACTTCGGCAACTGAAAGTATCAAGAAAATTCAATTTATTAAAAATCTTTTTTTTTGTGGTAAAATAAATTTTCATATCTTTGATCTCTTTTTCTTTTTTTTTTCAAATTGATATATTAACTGAAAAATATTCTCAAATGTGTAATTTTATATGAAAAAAAGTGCTAAAATTACCATATCATATCCAGTTATTTAAAATACAAATTTAAAATTAAGCCAGTAAAACTAATTTAAAACATTGTAATTTACTGCATACAATTTGATTTACAAATTAGACTAATACACAGTTTTTCTTTACACAAATGTGTTAATATTATGAAACATTCTGTAACCACAAGATAGATCTATAATAAAGATTATTAACCTTTACTAATGTAAATACATGTATCTTAAATAGATTTGTCCATTTCTTTATTCAATCTGGACAAAACCATTCATCATTTTAAGGGTAAATTACACGTAAATGTACTGACTGAATTACAAACAGTGTAGTCTATGACCAGACAACACGGAATAAATTATGTGCCGGCTGACCAGGCATAGATATTTTGAGTTGCTGTATGCAGGCTACAAGTTAAATAACAATTTTTCACTGACTTTATGTTAAGTCAATACCAGCTTTAAATTATAAGGATCTTACTATGGCTACTGGTACATCACAAGGCAAAATAGTGGGGGCATAAGGTGACTAGCTTCATAACCTAATATTTTATATTTAATGGTATGCCATGTTTCTCAGATAAAGCTAGATTCAGTTGTATAGAACAAATTTAAGTTAATATTTATTATGTTTTAAATCTTTTGATACACTTGACTTATTATCCAGGTATGAAATTATGCAATACTATAATTATGTGATATACTCAGACATATGTAACACCACATCAGTAAATCTTTCATTGTAGTAATAATGTTATTTGAGTAAGATATAGAATACTTGCCTATAATTTAAGAAAACATATAGGAACATTGTGAATAATAGAAACTATTTACCAGACCAAGGTTGAACCGAAAATATTCCATTCTATCTCCAGCGTGACAACAAAACATAGTTGGCTGATGTCCAATTAAGTTTTGAGAAAAGTAGCAACCAATGTCAAAATGACACTCAACACTAAATAGTTTTGTCTTCTGCAGTAACTAAATATGACTATGGGATCAAGGCTGGAAATATTGTTAGCAACTTTCTGTGCAAATTAACATGTTTCTAGAGGTGCGGTTAAAAATGTTGTGTCACTTGTAGTTTAAACATGCTTATTTAAAGGGACTCAACTGACGTTTTTCTGACACGATCAGACTGGAAATATTTTTCTGAGACTTGGGTGCCAATTAATATAAGTTCTGGATGCAAATTGTCAGGTCATTCCTTCACCTTGCATTTCCACAATAATCAATTTTACTGTGCAAAATGACCCAAAAAATGAAAGCTTTGCAATTCTTAAATCTGGTCAAGAATTTTGTGTAATAAAAAATGTAAGACAGACTTTTTAAACTGTAATTTGAATATATTATATTCCTTTCCCTTAATTTCGAAAATCATTGAACAAGTTAAATAGAACAAGCAAATTCGTTGAATTTATATCCCCCGCCGAGTACTGGTTATTATTAACACAACAACTGAAGACATAAGGCTTTATTTATATATTAATCATGGCATAAACAGTAATATTCTTTGAACTTGATAAATATTCAGGGCAATAACAGAGCCATAACTTTGTGTTAAATAGTAAAATCTGGAAATGCCAATGAGATGTATGCATACTACATAACTTATCAAGGGCCATAAATCTGAGTTATAAGTATCTGACTGGAACAAGGCGACTATATGCACATCTCCTCTTAGTATCCCATAAAGTTTCATTGAATTCCAGCCAGTAGTAGCAGAGAAGTAGTGAGGAAACAAATATTTTTCTATATGGATACTGCATAACTAATCAAGGGCCATAACTCTGAGTTAAAGTGTCTGACCGGAACAAGCCGACGATATGCACACCTCCACTTGGTATTGAAGGTTCCCATAAAGTTTCATTGAATTCCAGCCAGTAGTTGCAGAGAAGTAGTGCGGAAACGATTTTTACTCTATATGCATACTGCATAACTAATCAAGGGCCATAACTCTGAGTTAAAGGGTCTGACCGGAACAAGCCGACGATATGCGCATCTCCTCTTGATATTGATGATTCCCATAAAGTTTCGTTGAATTCCAGCCAGTAGTTGCAGAGAACTACTCCGGAAACGATTTTTACTCCATATGCATATTGCATAACTAATCAAGGGCCATAACTCTGAGTTAAAGTGTCTGACCCGAACAAGCCGACGATATGCGCATCTCCTCTTGGTATTGAAGGTTCCCATAAAGTTTCGTTGAATTCCAGCCAGTAGTTGCAGAGAAGTAGCGCGGAAACGATTTTTACTCCATATGCATACTGCATAACTAATCAAGGGCCATAACTCTGAGTTAAAGTGTCTGACCGGAACAAGCCGACGATATGCGCATCTCCTCTTGGTATTGATGATTCCCATAAAGTTTCGTTGAATTCCAGCCAGTAGTTGCAGAGAAGTAGTGCGGAAACGATTTTTACTCTATATGCATACTACATAACTAATCAAGGGCCATAACTCTGAGTTAAAGTGTCTGACCGGAACAAGCCGACGATATGCGCATCTCCTCTTGATATTGATGATTCCCATAAAGTTTCGTTGAATTCCAGCCAGTAGTTGCAGAGAACTACTCCGGAAACGATTTTTACTCTATATGCATACTACATAACTAATCAAGGGCCATAACTCTGAGTTTAAGGGTCGGACCGGAACAAGCTGACGATATGCGCATCTCCTCTTGATATTGATGATTCCCATAAAGTTTCGTTGAATTCCAGCCAGTAGTTGCAGAGAACTACTCCGGAAACGAAATTCGGACGGACGGATGGACGGACAACGCCAAAACTATATCCCCCTCCCGATTTCATCGGCGGGGGATAATAACAGTATGCAGCCTTTAGCAAGCATGATATAATTATAGTTAATCTCAATAAATTCAGTATTGAACCACTTTTTTTATGTAAAATTCTTAATATGGGCTCTCACAAACCAACAACATGTGTAACAATCTTCTGTACAGTTCGTTTACATGAAGGGTCCAATGCAGACATGTTAGAATATAAGTTATAAATTGACCTCAAGGTGCTGATTGCTCAGCAAAGAGATCTCAAAAGAAACCGACTAAGCTTTACATCGCCCGAGCCGGGATTCGAACCAATCACAGACAAAAATTAATGTTTATAAATAAAAACGAAATAACAAAACCTTCAGTTAATAAATTACCTAAATTACTACTGCTTTTAAGTATTTTGAAAGATATTTATATAAAATTTACTATTTTATCGATTTAAGTTATTTAATTGTGCAGATATTATGAAAATTAAGCAAAAATATGAAATTCCTTTAATAAAGGGAGGTAATTGTCAACTATAAATATCGGTTATTTAAATCTTGGTATTTAAAGCCGCGCCTTTGATCTTTTAGGTAAAAAAAATAGAAGTAAACAAATGAATTGTAATGCACAATTAACAACATTAATTAACAACATTAGAAGATCTTTTTAATCAATTTATTTATTGACTAATAAACATATGATATGTTTATAAGGTACTCAAAAACTAAACTAGGAATATCTTATATACATTGGTATTAGAAAACTTCTTAAGACAGCACCGGTCCAAAATTATCTCGGTGTCTCTGATTTGACTAATTTTATTATAAGTATTATCCTTGGAAACATATCATATATGTTTATTAGTCAATAAATTAATTAATAAAAAATATCTTCTAATGTTGTTAATTAATGTTGTGAATTGTACATTACAATTCATTTGTTTACTTCTTTTTTTACCTAATAGAATGAACAAAAAAGATCAAAGGCGCGGCTTTAAATACCAATATTTAGACAACCGATATTTATATAAACTCAGTTGACAATTACCTCCCTTTATTAAAGGAATTTCATATTTTTGCTTAATTTTCATAATATCTGCACAATTAAGTAACTTAAATCGATATAATAGTAAATCTTATATAAATATCTTTCAAAATACTTAAAAGCAGTAGTAATTTAGGTAATTCATCAACTGAAGATTTTGTTATTTCGTTTTTATTTATAAACCTTTATTTTCCTCTGTTAATTGGTTCGAATCCCGGCTCGGGCGATAAAAAAGCTTAGTCGGTTTCTTTGGAGATCTCTTTGCTGAGCAATCAGTACCTTGAGGTCAATTTATGCTATATATTCTATCAAGTTTTCATGGGAACTTTTATGTAGACGAACTGTACAGAAGATTGTTACACATGTTATTGGTTGGCAAGGACAGCCCATATTAAAAATTTTCCATAAAATAGTTGTTCAATACTGAATTTATTGAGATTAACTATCATGCTTTCTAAAGCCTGCATTTAACTAGTTCAAAAATTTTAGAAATTAAGGTAAAGGAATATATTCAAATTACAGTTAAAAAGTCTGTCTTACTTTTTTAATTACATAAAATTCTTGGCCAGATTTGAGAATCGAAAAGCTTTTTATTTTTTGGAACATTTTGCACAGTAAAATTGATTATTGTGGAAATGCAAGGTGAAGGTATGACCTGAAAATTTGCACCCAGAACTTATATTAACTGGCACCCAAATCTCAGAAAAATATTTCCAGTCCGATTATGTCAAAAAACCTCAGTGGAGTCCCTTTATATCTCAACTCTTGAAACTTGTTAATTTGCCCAGAAACTTGTTAACAATGTTTCCTGCCATATAAGCTAATACAAAGTATGTTGCTGCAGAAGACAAAACGGTTTATTGTCCAGTGTTTTTGAAGTTGGCCATTGCTACTTTTCTCAAAACTTAATTGGACCTTTTACCCCATGAGCATATTGTGAAAAATGGCCGTTTTCATTGAAAAGCCTCCTGTTACAAGTACCAACTGCTATAATATTAAAATTAGGAAAAATGCTTCAATACTGATGAAACTTGGCACATATGTTCACTGAACCATAACTTCTGTGAAAACATGCTCAAGCTTAAATTTCCTGTTACCATGGCAATGGGGGGATGTCTCAAAATCACTATTTTGCATTTTTTTTTTCAATCAAAACTGATTTCAAAGTGCTGCAACTTCTCAATGCAATGAGATAGAGTAAAAGGCTTTTCAGCGTTGGTTACCTTAAGATCGACCTGAGGCCATTTTTAGCCTGTCACATGTCCAAAGTTTTCTTGGGGATCAGGGGGACTTCCACCCCCTTCAAACCCCCTCAAACATTTGATTTCATTTGAATTGATACGCGTCATACATGTTATCTAAGAGCGCTATAGCCCTCGCGGGGCCTTTGGCCCCGCTCGGACTTTCTGTGTATTAAGGGGAAGTCAAAGGCCAAGCCCATGAGGTCCCGGCCTTTGACTTGCCCGGCTATAAACTACACCTGAATATTTAAAGCAATACAAATACATTGTGTAAAGTCAACATATAGATTTCTTTGTCATTCATTTTGCCACCATTTAAATGAAACTCAATGATAATCGGCCAGGTAAGCAGATAACAGAACAATCACAACTTTACAGATGAGATATAATGGCTTAGGTGTTCTGACTGAAAGCAGAAACCGTGCAGAGATTATGATAGAAATATTGAACAACACCTTTAAAACGAAAAAATGTTACATAAAAAATGAACTCAAAAATTGTATCCAACTTCCTCGTTCGTAGGTTTTGCCTACTTTCATATTATATATACCTTGAGAAAAGTAAAAGGTGTGTCTGTCTATAAAACAAATTACTAGAGGTAAAATTCCATTTTTGAAGGAATGAAGGTTATGTACCACTTACATATTTTGGAGGATATGTACCATAAATATTTCAATGTAATTTCTATGTTGTATTTGAAAATGTAATATAATGATGAGCTTGTTATGCCTTTAATAGTTAAACAAAGAAATAAAATTTCAGTTCTGTTTGGTAATTTCTAAGAAATACAGATTTTTATAAGGCTTATTATAATTAAAAGTAAATTAACAGCTGAATTAATACTTCAATATTACTTATCAGAAATTAGTAATCAAACAAATCACAAACAAATTACAAACTATGAAATATTGTTATAAAAATGTTTTTTTCAATGTTCTCATGAATGTTCATTTCTGTTTAGCGTATATAAATAAAACTTAAAAATGTTAATTATATAAATTAATTGTGGTTTGTTCTTTATTTTTCTCTGTATAAATAATTATAATCTCATTGTACAAAAAAAATAGATCAATTAATGCACAAATTTGAATAATAACCAATTAAGAAAAAAAATTCACATCCTTTAGAAAATCCCTTTTTATCCCCTAATTATGGTGAATTCAAAAGCTGGGGCTGTGAAGGGCTTTGGCTTGCCCGGCTATAGACTTCATGTGTATATTTAAAAGGAAAATAAAAACAATCCAAAATATATAGATTCTTATACCTATCAGTAAAATATTCAGTGTCATTACTAGTTGGACATTAAAAATAACGTAAAAACAACATAATTATGTGATTAAAGATTAACAGAAAATGCCGGACGGGATTTTCCAAACGCCGATGCATGCGCAGTGGTCCCTCTTCCAATGTTGAACACCACCATTTTATTCGTTTCTGTTTACGGTACAAAATACCCGCATTTACTTATAAGCGAGCTCGACGAGCTGGCCCGAAGTTGTGTATAAAATACCGAATGACAATTTCAAAACGGAAAATGTAAAATAAAAATGAACGATTATTTTAAACTATCTTGCGATAAAAAAAATTGAGCTCGCTTTGCGGCTTTGCCTTTTTCATATTAACAAACTGCATGATAGATCTGGTTAACATGTACACTAAACATATTATGCTTAAATCATAAGAGCTTTCCGCGCCATAGGATGATAGGTAGCACCTAATTTCATATTAATCGTTAGGGTGTTCAGTGTGAAAACAGAAGCCGTGCATGAAATACCATATGACACCTTTAAGATGGAAAAATGAACGATTTTAACTGACTTCCCCTTTCATAGCTTTTGCCTAATTTCATATTATTAATTACCTTCGAGTCATTATGGGTGAAAACGGAAGTGGTGCATGAAATACCGAAAGACAATTTTAAAACGAAAAATGTAAAATAAAAAAAATGAACGACTTTTTTAATCGACTTCCCCCGGTTCATAGGCTTTACCTAATTTCAAATTATTAATCATTTCTACCAATGTCGTATGTAACATCCAAAAATGGTACATTTATGCAGTGGTACGTTTCCTCCGTGGTAAGTAACCTCCACATTTCGTAAACAAAGTTTATTGTTAGATCGCGAAATATTATGACAATCAAACATTTCTTGAATTACACTTAAAATATAGCCTCAATATACACTGAAATGTATAGTTTTCCTCATTTTCTTGTTTATGTGTGAATATTATGTACACATCATTACAAATAAAAGTTATATTTACAAATGTTACCATTATTTTGTTTTCAACGTGGAAATATCCACCATTACAAAATTTATAATAAAAACATTTTTTGACCGAAATTTATCTAATTATTTATTAAAGTATGATTTGGTCTAAGTAGCAAAATGTCATCAAATAACATCAATTCTTCAATCAGTTTTAATAAAAGGTAAAAGTATGTGAAAAACACCGCAAAGCATTGCATAAATTTTGTGTGGAACCGCTTAAATATTCGTTTTAAAATTGACTCTTACTTATTTACTAAACATTGGAAAACCCGAAGAAGTCGTAAAAATACTTAATTCTAAATTAGTTATTTAAACCAAGAATATTTCACATCTATATGTCAAAGAGAAATTTTTATTTTCTTTAATAGATATACCATTTGAAAGCTAACCTGATATGAAAGTTGAATTAAAACATTTTACGACATAAAGGTTTACACGTTGCCACCTGTCAACACAAGACTTTTGCATGGAACCTCTTCCTAAAGCTGAACCAGAAGTGAAAATGGAGACGTTCCTTTCAAAGTCGCTCAAAATTGCGGCTGTTGTTCTTGCATATTGGTATGGTATGATTTAAATCGTCATTTTAAATGAAATAGTTTTAACGTGATAGATCTAGCTAATACAGTTTCATTTTTATTTAGTCCAACTAATTGTACTAGTCTACACATAATTTGAAATATTGTGCTATTTTGGGTATAGGCAATATCTCCCCTCTAGAAGCAAGATTCTCAGAATCTAAGGGTTGGCACATTAAAATATTTTTACAACATTTTTAGGGACCCATTTTTAGTGCACACATTTACATATATATAGACACTTAGGTGTCAGACCTAGCCTGAGATTCAGGCGTTGATATTTTTTGCTTTTTCATAACATACGCTGTATTTCATACTCGATTGTCATAGATAACACAACATCTCTGGTTTTGATAGTATCAACGCCTGGGGAAACTTGCTGGGTTTGTTATGTAATTATCGACTAATGATAATCCTAATTATTGTAATATGAAATTAGGTGCTACCTATGGCGCGGAAAGCTCTTATGAATTATGATTTGAGCATAACATGTTTAGTGTACATGTAAATCAGATCTTTCTTGCAGGTATTTTGTACTGTAAACAAAATGAATAAATTGGTGATGTTCAACCTATCACCAGAGCGCTCAGAATATTCCGAAAATCTCCGAACATAAAGTGGGACCACTGCGCACGCGTCGGCGTTTTGAAAATCCAAACTTTTTATATTTATAATCGTTACTATAGTTCTTATCAATTAAATGCATTTTTACTTTCTGATTTTTCAAATCATTCTCTCACCGTAAGTGTTATTTAGCAGACGCTAGCAATAGTCTGAATTATGTAGACGCTCATTAAAAGCGCTCTGATATCTATATTTAGCTCAAAAGGATTTCAAAATGGCGGCGCCCAGTTAACTAAAGATTTTTTCACAGCTTATTAGGTATAGGATATTTTTTTCGAAATTTTCATTTACTATTAATTTGATTTCATTTGAATTGATACGCGTCATACATGTTATCTAAGAGCGCTACAGCCCTCGTGGGGCCTTCGGCCTCGCTCAGACTTTCCGCGTATTAATATACCGATTAGCACGTGACCAACAAATAACATGACTAAATCGAGGCGAAGATGATGATTGTTGCAAATTTGAAGCCAATTTTACTATTATAAATTGCGTCCAGCCCCATTCTCTGATGCTCACAAACTTTATCCAATTTAACTAATCAAACCTGTTGATTGAATTAACTCATCATGCAATAAACTTTGTCAACGAGTGTCAGTTTTTAATCAGAAATGGTGTTTTGAAAGCGAGGCTCCGTAACTGTTCGTTGAGCTTCGGGTCACTTCGTGGAAATTCCATTTCTATTTTTAGAAACTAGATTGTCGTTGCATGAGTTATCGTTCTTTAAATAACACCCGTAATTTTCGGGGTGTATACTAGGTGGTGCTTCGATCGAAAATCGTATTTCCCCAGGCTGTCGATTTGCCAAACAGAAGCACATAAAAAATCGACAGACTGGAACCCAGGCTATGTCAGACCCTGTGCAACGACTTGACCCTCGAAAATATTTGTCAATAGACTTCATCTTGCTGTACTATGCACCGCCAAATTCCAAATTAATTTCTCTCAATATGTCATTTCCACAGTAAAATAATTCTGGCCAAGCCCTTTAAAAGATTAAACAGGTAAAATCTTCTGAGAGCACTTAAGTCTTGCATTTATACCAAGAAGATTGATTGCTAGCAGGCCCAATATTACAAAATACAAGTTAGTTTGTTTTGCCATGAATGCCTAGACTATGGACTAGAACATGTGCTTAAAGTCAAGCCGGACGAACCAGATGAGTGCTCCTTTGGTGTTGTAACATTATTATGAATTATTGAAGTTAATAGAGAATCTCACCACTTAGTATCGGGATTTAAACCAACAATCTCACAATGTTCTATTATTATTTTTCTGTTGATTTGTCATAACCACTAGAAAACCAGTTATGTCTAGCATTCCTAGCATTCATTGATTTACTCTCTTTATTTTGCCATCAACATGACACTTGTACAATAATGTAATGAAATTGATGTTTATTTTCAGGTTTATATCTATTTCCATGGTATTCCTAAACAAATATCTCCTCAGCAGTGATGATTTAAAGGTAGGTTAATATGAAATTAGGCAAAGCCTATGAACGGGGAAGTCAGTTAAAAATCATCTATTTTTCCTTTTTAAAGGTGTCATTCGGTATGTCATGCACCACTTCCGTTCTCACTCGGAACACTCGATGATTATTATTAATCCGAAAAGTTGCGATTGTCCGTTGTTGGAATACCTCACCTTTTATCATTGAGTTACATTGAAAATGGCTGCGCCCAGCTGGAACTGGCACTGAAAATTTCATTGATAGGTAATAGAATTCTATATATTTTTTAATTGTTTTTTATTTGATTTCCTTTTAAATATACACATGTAGTCTATAGTGTATTAATTCTCTGTGCCTTATAAGAATATAATCAAACAGACCCTTATTTGGGGCAAATGTTCACTACTTCAAAATTTGTAGCAGTTTACTATTTCATAGTGGAATGGACAAGGGTGCAAATATTTACAATGGCAAAAAAAAACATTAAAAAAGTTTGCCAAGTGCAGGAATGGGGTAGGGATTCCTTGAATTAAACATTATTTACATGGTTTAACCTTTTCCCTTATATAAGCGTGTTTCAACGGCTTTTTGCCCCCCCCCCCCTTTATGAGGCCTCAAACAGTGACCTCTTTTTCGGCGCCGTCCCCCATCCAAATGTTACATCAGGGAGATGTGCCCCCTTCTGTTTTGGGGATTTGAAGGGGGGCAGAGTCCCCCTCATCGCCAAGAAAATTTTGGACATGTGACAGGCTAAAAATGGCCTCAGGTCGATCTTAGGGTAACTAGTAACCGACGCTGAAAAGCCTTTTACTCTATCTCAATTCATTGAGAAGTTGCAGCCCTTTGAAATCAGTTTTGATGGAAAAAACAATGCAAAATAGTGATTTTTGGCAATTTTGAGACGTCCCCCCATTGCCATGGTAACAGGAAATTTATTTTAAAGTGGACTGGTCTGCAATCGTAAATGAGCACAATCATTTTCAATAAGTATGTCAAATATCCGTAAAAACAAAAGAAATGCATTATTTGGATATTCTTAAAAAGATATTGCTAGTAAAAGAAATGTTGATGAAAGTTTAGTAAGAACATTTATATGATGGGCAGTAATATTTTGTTCTAGAACACTTTATCATCTACTATATAAATATATGTAGTAATATCAGATCATGTATCTCATACTTTTGATGTTATGCCTGATATCAACATAACTATTTACTGTATAACATGTAACCTTTCATTATAGACCAGTTCACTTGAACTTGAATTTGAACATGGCGAGGGTTAACATTCAACCAGCGAAAAGAAACTTGAAAATAATGTCTTAGTCTATTTTACTACAATGAATAGGGCTAAATATAGTATGAATGAACCTTTAATATCAATCTAATAACATTAAAGTCAAAATTTATTGAGAATGTCAAATACTCAAGTGTCAATTTGATTTAATTACCGGTAATATCGTGGCCCAAAGGCATACATATGCACACCTTGGACTGTAATGATACCAGTGTTTTCTTTTCACTCATGAGGGAAAGATGGTGGGTCCCCCTGTCTGTGGTGGAAATTTATTGTTGTTACAATAGAAAAGAAATAGTATATTTGATGAAAATACACTTCATTATTATTTTGTTGTTTTTTCTTTGAAAAGAGGGTTACTAAACATTGTTTTGCTGGTAGGTCTCACATTTATGTTCAATAACTGGAGAACCATTCGACCCACAGCCTTCAAACTCCATAAGATGACCTTTGAATAGGGGACACATATTTTTGGGCATCCACACATGAAGGTCAAGGTCACACTGTAACCTTGAATGTGAAAACTGTTTCCACTCAATAACTAGAGAACCATTTGACTTGCAGCCTTCAAGTGAGCCTTCAAACTTCACTTGACAAACTATTTAACATGATAATGGCCAAACATGCTCTAAATACATTTTAAAAAGTATAAAAAAAAATATGTTTGCACTTTCCAAAGAAAAAAAGTGTACTTATTTCTTAGGCTTAGTGTGCCTTTGAAACATTAAACAGCAAAAAAAAAATATACAAAAAAAATTAATAGATACATTTTACACTGAAATAGGAAATGTCTTCATGTTTTTTTAAAACCTTGTTTTGCATATTTAAATTAAAGATATATTTAGAAATTGTGACATCATGTTGAGATTTGATTTATGATCTATTCTGAAAGGGGTTTAATCCTGTTAACCATAAATCCTGTTACAGTGTTGATGGGAATAAAGGGTTTAGTATCAGTGAAAGCTATATTTTATGGAGGGCGATCGTTGCCAAAATTCTAGACATGTAATGTGTTTCTTTTGAAAACTACTTTTGAAAATGCGAAAGTGAATGTCTAGCATTTTTTATTGTATTCGTGCACAGCAAATGATATGCCTGTTAATCCAATCTTTTAATCGAAGGCACCCGCTTTTAAATAACAAGTTTACATGTAAATCTTAACAACTGACCTAACATGGAGAACAACAACACATTTACAAGTTCGTATCTTCCATTGCATATAATACATAAGCATGTTTGCACACTTGTAGATATCTATCTGTACCTGAAAAATACAAATGAAATGTAAAACTCGACTACAGAAAATATAATTTAATAAAACATGTTTCCAGTCGTAGAACTACAACAGTACGTTAACACAGTAACATGTTTAAAATGACCAAGTAGATTCACAAAGTTAAACGATTTTAAGTCATGCATGACGCCCCGCCCCTCTCTGAGTATTTACGATCTTCTATTACGGAAATGTTTGGACAAGTATAATACCCGTCGCCACTCTCCTATTTCTCAATAAAGTGAAGGAAAACACGGCGTCCATTCTAACTTCTTTTTTATTTCTATAAAAAGTCAAATATTTTTTGTATCAAATGAAAGATTACTCCATAATTTTCTATGAATGCCTCAGAAATAAAAATGAATTAAATAGATGTTTTGAAATTTTTGTTTCAAAATTTATCATGTTTTTCCTCTGAAAATCTCGAATTGGTAAGAAAAATACGGCGTTCCCTCCAAACCTATTTTATTTCGTTATCAATTTTGAAAATTTTGAATTGAAATAAAAGTGTGCTTCATACGATTTATGATATATGATTATATAATGCCTAAAAATAAAAATGAATTGAATCAAAATGAATTAACTTTTCGTTTTAAAGTTTATCATGTTACTTTCTGTAAAATAGAGAAAATAAGAATCCCTAAAGAACACTCAAAACGACAAAATTGAGAATGTTGCAGGCACGGTTTGATTGAGCCTGTTCGTGGACGGTAATGGAAAGAGCAAGTTACCGCCCATGCCCCCTAGCACCGGCTTAAGCAAAATTCAACATGAACTGGTACAATTTTGAATTTTGAAACATCCGCAGATGTGTTAATATCGCTATTATCATGGAACCTTCAATGTGACATGTAAGTGCCATTCCATGAAAAACGGCATATGGTCCCAAGTAAAAAAAAACAAAATACACTCTGAAATTTAGTAAGAGAAACATACTACTTACTACTACTTACTTTTTTATTCTCGGTCATTTTTGATAATTTTAGACTCAAGTAAAAGAATCCTTCATGAACTTTCTAGTAATGCCTTAAAAAAAAAAAATTAATTACGTAGAAGAATTTAAAATTTTGTTTCAAACTTATCGTTGTTTATTTTTCTCTCTTAAAACCACAACTCATATATTCGGAAAGAAAAATCACGTCGCTTCCTTTAGATACTTTATTCAAAAAAGAAAATGAATATTGAATGAAAGTTAAGACCATAAGCTTTGAACAAGTATACATGTATTAAAAAGTCTGGAAACAAAGTGACTCCTCGGAAGCATTAATCACAACAAAGTTACATAAGAATTGCAGATTCGGTTTGATTGAGTCTGTACATGAGAGATAATGAACAAGTGCAACATCCCTCACGCCCCTAGGACCGGCTTGAGCGGACTCAATTCTCAACACTTAATAGCGCTGGCATTAATGATCCCGAAGGACCAGAAAAATATAAAAACACTGAAGTGAAGTACGGGGCAACTTTTTACGGCTGCCACACGGCACTTGACACCTGCTGTTGTAAAGTATAAAAAAATTGGAAACAAAGTGATCCCTCGGAAGCATTACTCACAACAAAAATTACATAAGAATTGCAGACTCGGTTTGTTTGAGTCTGTACATGAGGGATAATGAACACGTGCAAAATGTTTTTATTTATACTGAAAAAAACTTATTAAAGCCACTGACCTCCATATGGTAAAATGAAAAAAATGAAATAAAATTTCATGTAAACAGGAAATACTGATCTAGTTAGGTTTATTGTATAAATTTATTATCACTGACACCTTAATTCAAGAAACAATGTAGACAAAAGCGTTAATATATCGGGTTTATTCTTTTCCATTATCTACTACGATACTAACGCAGTAGCAATATAAATAGAAGAAGATAATTCATTTAACGCGTCACGTGTCACAACAGTGGTCCGGAAAAATCCCGGTAGGCTCCCTATCACATTTCAAGCTCTACGGAACGTCGGTGGTTCTACTCAGGTGCCCGTTCGTGCCTGAAATAATGCACGGAAGGGCACCTGAGGTCTTCCTCCACCAGTAAAGCTGGAACGTCGCGATATGACCTATACTGTGTCGATGTGACGTAAAACCCAAAACAAACAAACAAACAAAACATTTCAAGCTAAAGGTTAAATCGATAAATTGGTCATTATATATATGAAATAATTAATCAATTATAATTTTAGGGCCATGAACAACTACAAATATAAAACCAAAAGCAATTATTGGCATCCCAAATATGTTTGATAAAATCCTGGATTCCATGCGTTCAGGAGCACAGGTCGCGATATTGTCATGTACGATCACGTATTTTCTTGATTTCAGAAAGGAAATCTCGGTGGCCGCTTTAAAATCCTATTTTTGCAAATACTTGCATAGTTTTTGTTGAAAATGAAATTTGTGCCAAATATATTTTTAATGATACATGTACCAATAAAAATATTGGATGTTTTTTTAGATTATCAATAAAATTACACCTTTGAAGTTGGTCATTGTTTCCCCTAAAAATTTCCAAATCGCCGATGTTTCTCAGGAAAACACGATGTTAAATAATAAGTTAATGCATAAGTTATCTTCATAATAAATGGTAAAATCAGTAATTTTCAAGTGTTGTTGCTAGTGACAAAACTTTTGTAACAAATGTAACAAATATATGTTATGAAAAATGCGGTATGTTGTCCTTCAGTTTTATTTAGAAATATGGGAGAGGCGCCGTTTTTTACCTGTCCGTAGAAGTTCGTAAATACTCCGAGAGGGGCGGGGTGTTATGCTTGACTTAAAATCGTTTAACTTTGTGAATCTACTTTTGTCATTTTAAACATGTTACTGTGTTAACGTACTCTTGTAGTTCTACAACTGGTACCACGTTTTTTTTTTAAACTCTATTTTCTGTATTTAAGATTTACATTTCATTTGTATATTTCAGATCTATAAGTGTGCAAACATACATATGTATTGCATTCAATGGAAGATACGAACTTGTAAATTTGTTGTCGCTTTTGATGTTAGGTCAGTTTTTACAATCTATATGTAAACTTGTTATATAAAGGCGGGAACCTTCAATGAAAGGATTGAATTAGGAGGCATATTATGTGCTATGCACGGGTACAATAAAAAATGGTAGGCATACAAGTTCGCATTTTCACAAGTTATCTTAAAAAGGAGCACTTTACATGTCTGGAATTTTGGCAACGAACGCCCTCCATAATATTTATGAACATTTATCAATAGATATCTTATTTCAAACATAAATATACCTGTTGAAATTTAGTCTTTTAAAATTTAGTTTATTTTCTTTCAAGTTACTCTAGACATACATTTGTATGTACAGTTGTTATTTAAAGTTTAATCAGTATTATAATCACTACTATTCATTAGATCATTTATAAAAAGTAGTTGATCCAGTTATACATGTATAATAAAATTGTTTATGCCATCATAAATTAGTCAGTGAAGATAATATTTTTAATAAAAATTGTAAATTTATTAACAAAATCTTTATTTGTAGACTTGAGCTCTTCTCTCCTCTGTATAAATACAATACAAATTGTAAAATTTATGGCTAATAATATATGTCAATGTAGAAATATTTTTTAGCAATCTTAGTGCCAATGAGAATCATATCAGACGCAATTGTTGTTGTTTTTAAATTGTAAATATACAAACTGGGATATATGTTGAATAAAACTGAAAATATTGTTCTAATCTTTAAACAGATGCTAAACGATCATAATTTGTTTTGAACTCAGTATAACTTTGAAAGAAAAAAAGTATTTTGGAGAAGAAGAAAAAATGTATAATATAAAAAGATAATTTTTTAACCACCTTGCAGGGTTAGAATTTAGCAAGATTTTCTACTTGCAGAATTTTGCAAGTGATCAAATGTTTAACTGGCAATATGGGGTAATCAACTGGCATTTCCATGATCACGTATTATTATTATAATACACAATGACAATGTATTTTGAACATTGGTATGTCAAATGATAATAAGCTTGAATGTCTATAGAATATCAGAAACATTTTTATTATTGGTAAACACAGATGTCTTCTTGTAACGAAACAAAAACATTTCAACACATTAATTTATAAATGATAAACAATTGTTTAGGGATCAGATTAGGTAAACCAGAGGAACACCCACTGGTGACAATGTACAGTTATAAACTTATTCAAGTAATGTAATTTCTTAGGACCTTCATTAATTTTAGCATATTTAAAATGAACTTGATTACACCAACAGCCTGAAAACTCAGAGGTGCTGATCTACTTAAAATAAATAAATATTTCAGCTTTAAAGGAGTGCTACGCATTTACATTGGACCCTGATTAAACATCTTGGATGCTCTAACAAATAGTGTTTGGCTGTTAAAAATAGTCCATCAAAATATAGTCAAAGAAAAAATGAATAGAGCAACTAAAAATTTATTTTTTTAGTTTATTAGGTAAACAACTGAGTCTGGTACAGTAAACATGATCAGTTTCTGCAGCGGGCAGTTGCCAAGCATCATCATAAGCTCAGATGATAACAGTTATGTAAACGTCCTAAATGAACAGTCACTTGCAAATAAATGCCAGTTAGAGTAATTTTTACTGGCATTATTAGATTTTAACTGGCATTTTGCCAGTATGCCAGCTTAAATTCGAACCCTGACCTTGTAACCTTCCAAGCAAACTGGCATGGGTCACGGGAGGGGAAACAAAGATGATTTTAAGGCTTGCTTCATAACTATATTTAGAAACAAAATTAGAAGCAAACAAGATTTTATCTGTTAGACTTGAAAAGATACTTTAATACTGGTACGAACTTGATGCCAGCACATCAAATGGGGCAACTGCTCTATGTTTAGTTGTTAACAAGTTTAAACTACATCTTGTAATTTAAAAAGATGAATGCTACAAAATACATTAATATATGTCATTGATTGTCAAAAAAATCAGTTGTAAGTAGGATGGAAATTTCTTATAATTGAATATATTTTTAAAAAATAACTTTTTCCTTTTCAGTTGGATGCTCCATTGTTTGTAACCTGGTACCAGTGTGTAGTGACAGTTGCCTTATGTTTCTTGTTGAGCTACATGGCCAAGCTTTTCCCCAGTATCATCTCATTTCCAGACATGGCAATAGACCCAAAACTCTGCAGAGCTGTAAGTTATAGAAGTTTAATTGAAGTTAAATTGATCTTATATCACCAGTATAACAATGAAATTTAAAGTGATTTGTTTTCATGCGGTGTAATGGGAGAATCATCAAAACACTATATTTAAAGCCTTCAATGTTCTTTCTGTCATGTAAATTGCTGAAAACATCTTGCTTGTATTTTATAGACAAATACCATATGGGAGATATGAATATCTGTATTGTATTGTGCATTATGACTTAAAATTATGAGTTTATTATACATTGTTGAGCACATAACTGAATTCTATTGGACGAGTACACAGATGTCAAAACTATATTGGACATGGCGCTTCTCAAGTTAAAACCGATTTTAAAGTTGTGTAGGAATTTAATAGAATTAGTATTGTTCTCAACCATGTTTAATGACCCCTTTATTTCACACCACCATTTTTTGACAGGACTTTATTACTTCAATTAGAATAAGGATTTTTGGAGTCTCAAAATGAAAAAGAGGCTAGATGGAGTACAATATGCATTTCATAAAAATATTTTGGACTCTTAAAATTAAAACAAGGTTATATGGGGTGTGATATGGCTTTGATATGAATCTTTTGGACTCTGGAAATGAAAAGGAAGCTATATGGGGTGTGATATGAATTTGATATGGACTTTTTGGATTCTGGAAATTAAAAGTAGGCTAAATTGATAAGATTGAATCCAATAATGATTTGTATCAAGACATTATTTTGTGCAATACTGAAAGTGCATTGGTTATGTTTTATTATCAGGTGTGAAAATAAATGAAAGTATTCAGTTAGAGTAATCATAAGTGTACTTATTCTTGGCTAGTTTATGATCGTGATTAAGACAGTGAGCTTTTATGCCTTGTGTTTTCTTTGTGTGACAAAAAGTAATGAAATAAATGCATGTCAATAAACAACATTTAAGAATTCTTACCAATATTATATAATTATGATATTGTATAGCCCTCATTTTTTTGTTGATATAACATTTCACTATCTGGGATAGAAATATTCAAACCAGTTTTCTCTTATAGCAGCTTTTGTTAACATATTGTTTTTATATCATTTTAGATAAGAGGAGTTTATTACAAATGTTTTCTGTGGAAATCTGATATCGTTTTGCACAAAACAGCAGAATTGGATTAAATTGATTCAATTAAACTGCCATATGTTACCAGGAAGATTAGAATTAGCTGATATTTTCTGTATGATAAAAAGATAAATTATTGGTACAATTCAATAGCCCTATCTCAGAGGTTAAGTTTCTAGATCATTTAGTTATATTATGATAAATGTGAGAGTACTACCTAAATTGACACACATGTAGATATTGTATTTAATATATCTTATATAGGGAGCTCTTATACATTGTATGGTGTTGTATTTATTATAATACTGCACGTTTGTAAGTCGTCACATTTCAATGGATTATCGTGACATTCATATGGTTTTATATACACGGCTGTTGTCAATTAATGAAAAAATCTCACTTTTTATGTCTAAAAGAAATGGAAGTTTGCTGTATTATAAATTGGTTATAAAATATTCCTGACAGGTTATATGACCATCTCTAAATGTTTGTTTACAATATAATCCAAGCTGCTATTATATATTTCAAACAACCGTTTATATAGGACCAATTAACTTGTCAAAAAAATCTTCATAACTAATGATATATCCTATATAGGGAGCAGTTATATGGTATTGTATTCAATATATCCTACTAAGGGAGCTGTTACATGATATTGTATTAATATATCCTACATAGGGAACTGTTATATGGTATTGTATTCAATATATCCTACTAAGGGAGCTGTTACATGATATTGTATTAATATATCCTACATATGGGAGCTGTTATATGATATTGTTTTTAATATATCCTATATTATGGGAGCTGTTATAAGGTATTGTATTTAAAATATCCTATATTATGGGAGCTGTTATAAGGTATTGTATTTAATATATCCTATATTATGGGAGCTGTTATAAGGTATTGTATTTAATTTATAGGAAACTTCAGCTTTGATGTCACATTGTACAAATATATATTGAAGTTTCAAATGAACAAAGTAACATTCCTTTTGTTTAAGAAACATTGTTAAGCAGACTACAAAATAACTTTATCCAGTTCATAAAAAATGCAAGTAGTTACATCTGTTATACATCAAACAAATTGATTCACAGTATTGCTTCATTTAACTTAATCTTCTAACTTTATATAGCACTTCCAACACCACACAGTCTACACTTTAATTTGGGGTGGGGGTGTTGCTTGTTTTTTTAGTTTTTTCAATGTGAGTTTTTTTTTTCACTGAAAGCCGTCACAATTACAGGCTAAGGCATATATAATACATGTAAGTATAGAGCCAGATCATCCTGTATTTCTAGTAATTTAATCAGACTGTATACTGTTGACTGCTCTGATTTAATATTGTGATATTGTGATCCCTGAAACTTATAATAGAGTATTACAAATTCAATAAAAAGTCTTGTTAGTTAACTTTATAGTTACATGAACAGTGTGATAAAGTTAATAGTAACTAAACTCCTGACATGTAAATTTGTGTAATTAACTTACCATACATTGACTGTGGAACCCTTTATTGATACTTGTACAGGTTTTGAAGTCCTAATGCTGTAGACAAAGAAGGTCTATCTGTCTGGTCTGATTGCACTGATGTACAGACTATCTTGACTTACTGTTGCTAAGCAACCCCTGTTAGCATATATTATAAAGTATAAGGCTGTATTGTTTTAGACATGTGATTATTATCATTATTTTATTGTTTATTTTTTCTTTCTGCAGACTTTACCCTTGTCAGTGGTGTTTGTTTGTATGATCACTTTTAACAACCTGTGTTTAAAGAATGTGGGCGTGGCTTTTTACAATGTGGGCAGGTCTCTAACTACAGTCTTCAATGTGGTGAGTATTTCAAAAGAAGACGTTTAACATTTTTATCATAGTTTATATTTCAGTCACTAGTATAGAGCACATATGTGCTGCTTGACTAGACTTTATACTGTTGACTTCCATATTTTAGTTTTTTGTTACCTAAAGCATTCAACTTGCAAATTGCTCTGTTCTGTTCCTGCACTATGCAGGTTGTTCAGCAACTCAACTAATATCATTTAATGAATATCAGAATGCCAATTCTATACAAGAAGAATACTTGACAGAATTTATGAACAGAAAAGCTTCAAGTGTCTTTGTCAGTAAATTTTAGCTTCTAAAATTCTTGTAATATGTTTCAATATAATGTTATAATTAATACATGAAATTGTTTTCATCATGTTTTCCTTTTATTTTTCTTGCAGATATTTACGTATTTCCTGTTGAAGCAGACTACATCAGTTCAGGCGTTATTATGTTGTGGTGTTATTATTTTTGGGTTCTTATTGGGTGTCAATCAGGAAGGGGAAGCTGGTAAGTTAATTATGAAGCAGAAGACATTTTAGCTGCGTCATGACAAAACCAACATAATGAGTTTGCGACCAGCATGGATCCAGACCAGCCTGCGCATCCGGATCAGGATACATGCTGTTAGCTTACAAACCCTATAACAAGTAGAGAAACTGATAGCGAACAGCATGGATCCTGATCAGACTGCACGGATGCGCAGGTTGGTCTGTCAGGATCCATGCTGGTCGCAAACCCATTATGTTGGTTTTGTCGTGACACGGCTCATTTGAACCTTTAATCTGTCGAATTTGGAACAAAGGGATTCCAGTATCAAAATTTTAAAAAGATGACTTACCAACAGCAAAAAGTCTAGTCCATGCTCTATACTAATTTTTTGAAGGCTATTCAGTTTTGGTTCAAGCAGGTTAATGGTAAAATATTTTTTAAAGTTGTAAATCATTAGATTTCTTTAGGTCAAATACCACTCTTAAATTAATAGCATTTGACATCACTGTTGAAGTACTGGTATTATCAGTGCTTTCATTATACAATGTATTTAAAAGCAGTGGTATCATTTCTAAAAATAGGCAGGTATATATTTATTTATTGAAGATAATTATTTAAAAATGTTATCTATTATTTTATTTCAGGATATCTGTCGATGATAGGTGTAGTATTTGGAATATGTGCAAGTGCGAGTGTAGCATTGAATGCCATATATACAAAGAAGGTTCTTCCACTAGTTGACAATAATATCTGGCGTCTTGCCCTCTATAACAACGTAAATGCTACATTTCTTTTCCTTCCTTTAATGCTTGTTTTTGGCGAGTTTACAGAAGTTGTAAAATTTAATCAATTAACGAGTTCTCATTTTTGGTTCTTAATGACAATGAGCGGTGTTTTTGGATTTGCCATCGGCACGATAACAGGTTTACAGATTCAGTTTACATCACCCCTAACGCACAATATATCGGGTACGGCTAAAGCTGCGGTACAGACTGTAATAGCATGTGTCTACTTTAGTGAATCGCGCTCAGGACTATGGTGGCTAAGTAATCTAACAGTGCTTGGTGGCTCAGGGGCATACACCGAAGTTAAAAGGCGGGAAATGAAGAAACAGCACAACATTGATATGTCGGTGTCTGCCAAAAACGAACAAAAAGAAGATGTATGACTACATACTAAAAATGAATAATGTTTTTTTTTATCTTACTAGTAAATTTCTAAGGTAAAAATGCATAGAGGGAAATTATGACATAAATGTTAATGGATTAAAATATTCTAAAAATTATATATAAACTTAGATTAAGAAATGTTTTCCTTATTTTAGCTTTTATTTTATGACTGTTATATATTATGCTATGTTTTAATACAGTTTTAGATTCTGATCCTATTTAATATTTTAAAGGTACATTATGCCTCAGAAAATGAATAATTTTATACTTCTCAAGAATTGGGCAAATGAGTTTTATAACATAATTATAAAGGTTTTAGAGCATAAAAGATGCTTAATCACAAAGAATGAAGTGCAGTTTGGGAAATTATTTGTCATAAAAGTAGCAAAATGTTTACTATCCCATACAAAATACTAACTCACTATAACTGTAATTACCAAAGGGCAAGAGGTAAATGACCAATGAGTAACATTTTGGAAACTATAAAAAGACCCCAAAAAAGAAAACATTTTGGAAATAAAAAGGAACAAAAGCATTTCTGTGGCATAATGGGCCTTTAAATATTTTTCAGTTCAATTATTTTAATTGAATTGCAGCAAAAAAGTGTTTGCATTTTGATCTGTTGTAGGGAGAGTTAAAAGTAAACCATTAATTTTTGTTGACCATAGTAACAACAGAACTTTATTTTGTAAAATTTTTGTACATTTTTCATGTTCTTTTCTAAGTTTCTTATTTAGACTCATTTTTTTTCCTAAAAAGTCATACCATATCAATATTATTAACAGCTGTCAAATATCTACATAACTTGGCTTTTAGACAAAAATATATAGACTGTATTGCAAAGATAATGAATTCATTATTTTGTATCAATATTTCACCAAATTTTCTTGCCTAACATCATTTCACAATTAAGATAAGAAATTGCAGATTTTAAATTAGAACTATTTCAAGTTAACCTTTACCTGGCTGAAAATTAGAATAATTAGCTCTTGTCATTAGTATAGAGCCAGGCCAGCATGAAAATTCTAGCAGTCTGACCAGGGTTTATACTATATATGATTAACTTCAAACTTTCATCCTGATTTCCCAAATATTGATAATGGACAGTCCCAAAACAGAAGCTGGACAAGTCCATTTAAAGACATTCAGTAGGTTAAAGGTCATGCAATTAATGTAAATAGACTCTGCTTGGGTTGTAAAAATTGATAAGTGCTGTTGCTTTCCTACACAAATCACCTTATTTTACAGCAATTTTTGTGGAATGTCCGTTGGTCTACTCAGGTGCCCTTTTGTGCATGAAATAATGCGCCGAAGGGCACCTGAGGTTTTCCTCCACCAGTTAAGCTGGAATGTCGCCATATAATCTATGCTGTGTTGGTGTGACAAAAAAATCCAATCAAACAAACAAACAGCAACTTCTTAACATTTATTTTGTCTGTTAAAAAAGAAATCAAAGCATAAAAAAATGCTTTTCTTAGTTTTTTTTTATTTAGTAGATGCTTTAAAAATCATGAATTTTTGTTCAAAGTTTATATTAAAGAAATTAGATTTAGTGATTACAAAGGGAAATTTTAAGTTAATTTTTAAGTTTTTGGTTTTGTTGGGCTTGATGTATTTTGATGTATTTTTGTGTCTTAAAACTTGATTGAAATCTTATTTTAAGGGAATTTTAGGTTTGTATTGTCCAACAGTATTGACCTGGCACTTCATTAATTTCCGTAAAGGTCGGGTGATAAACAGTGGTATCTAACGAATATATCGATATCTTTATTAACTTCACACATCAATAAGTTGTGGTGTATTGGTATAGATGCCAGACTACTGATCTGAAGTTTCCTTGTTCGATACCTTACCAGCACCACGTTATGAGGACATACATTTTTTTATTTCATTTGCAAGAATTAATTTGAAATCGTTTTACTACATCTGGGTTTTAGGATACCTTTTAAGTAGTGTTTTTATACAATTTTATTTTTTATTTCATTACATTATCTTTAATTAATAAAAAGGACAGCACGTCCATAATACAAATTAAAATTCATACACAACCAAAACTTAAAACGTTTTGCACGAGTTGAGAGAGAAATAGCAATTTTAAAATAAGAAAAAAAATATGTAAGTGGCTGAACCAGGATTCGAACCTACGAGTGTGCGTCTATATTCTTGAAGTGACAGCACTTTACGACTGTGCTAAGAGGGATTTGTAATTTAGATCATTTAACAACTGGTTATATACATTCATATGGATTTACAATAGATAGTAACGTTTACGGAATTTACCGACTATGGGGTCAAATGCAAGAGTGCCAGGTCAATGTTGTTGGACAATAACAGTTAAAATGTTTGCAGAAGAATATGCATTTATATATTTCTGACCAGCATTCTGTAATAAAATCAAACAATCAATCTTGTATTTATTAAAGACATTATCGTTTTGTTGAAGATTTTTTATAAAACAATTGTCAGATCAGCGAATCAGTAATCAAATGATAAGCTATATAAGTACAAGTGACCTTATGTTTTTTATTAACTTTGGTGTTAGATTTTGTTAAAGTTTGTAAAGCTATATATCTGTGGCAAAAATTATTGTTTGAATTTTAAAAAATGATACTTCGAAAATACTTTTATGAAAAAAATATGGTTATAAGTTGCCTTAGAAGCAAATGGCACATGCACAAACTAATTGCTAAACAGATAAAACCCTACTTTTTAAATGGCAGAATAATATTTTGTTCTGAAACACTTTATTCTGTTAACATATAAATATTTATGTGTGTAAAATAACAGAGACATTCTAGCTATTAACAACTCTTATGAGAATCGACCATAAGGTTATGGAACCAATATGATTTTAATGTTTATTTTGATATATTTTTTTAAAACATTTCTTAAGATATGGCTTTATACCATTTAAAATCAATGAAAAATTATGTTCAGATCAGCGTATTGTAATCAAAATGTTATGTTATACAATTACAACTTATATTTATGGAATTTGTTATAAAAAGTTTGACATTTCTATTTAAAAAACAACAAGATGTCTGTTTAATGGATAAGGCTGATTTGAGCCACGTCATGACAAAACCAATATAATGGGTTTGTGACCAGCATGGATCCAGACCAGCCTGCGCATCAGGGCAGTCTGATCAGGATCCATGCTGTTCGCTATCAGTTTCTCTACTTGTTATAGGGTTTGTAAGCGAACAGGATGGATCCTGATCAGACTGCGCGGATGCGCAGGCTGGTCTGGATCCATGCTGGTCATGTTGGTTTTGTCGTGACGCGGCTCATTTCTTTTAATTTCTTGTTTTTGTTATTGTTAGAATGACAAGATAAAGACGAACATTATTTTGTACTTTAGTGTTTTTAAAATGTTAAAGTTATGTGCAATGTAATAGTTATTATTTGTAAATATGGGCAATTAAATTTTGATTTAAATTGCAATTTATGTTACAATTTTCATCTTCATAATTAAACTGTCATTTAAAAATATTCATTAAGCTGCAAGGCAGTCAACACATTAACTATATAGGACAAGTGCTGACCAAAAAAAACATGTTTCAATTTGTGATTGCATGCTATTATAAATGTAAATGCCGACATGTTAGCTACAATGTTTATTTGTCCAGAAGAATGTTAGTACCAGTATTACAAGTATATGATGCAAATGCAAGATACTGTGATTCCCTATTCTAATAGTATCAAATGACTCTTTCAAATGAAGATCTAAAACAATAGGTAATACATTGTAATCATAATTAAAAGTAAAGTAAAGGACTGTGAGTAATTTTGTTTGGAATAGTTCTTGCATTGTGCATATGAGTATTTCACCACAGCAGGTGTCAAGTGTGGTGTGGTAACTGTCAAAAATTGTCCCACATTAGTGTTGTTATATTCTTCTAGTCCTTGCAAACATTGATTCCAGTATGTAAGTATTGAAAATTAAATACTGCTTAAACTGGTGCTAGGGGATGTGAGGGATGTTGCACTTTTCCATTATTCCTCACAAACAGACTCAAAGTGATTATGCAATTTTCATGTAATGATGTTTTCTTTGCTTACGAGGGATCTCCACTTTTCCCAGATGTTTTGGACAAGTTATATGAGAGAGCAACTAGATATTATGGGGGTCATATCGCAACAAAAAGAACATTAGATTCATTCCAAAGCAATAAAAGAAGTTGCCATGGAGTATGTTTACACAAAAGGAAATAACAAAAGAAATGGCACTAAAGTCCATTTTGATAGAGCTTCCATGTTATCACAGGGTCATGCTGAGTACAATCGTATGAGTTAGTTTAATAAGAGTTTGTGTAAAAACCAGTATCTAAACTGCTTTTTTTAATTGGTTGATTCAAATTCAAATTGGCCAATGGAAGAGCCCTGTATTGAATGATCACTAATTTCTATATATATATTTTTTTTCTGCCAGTCCTTATTCACATTCATTTATCATGTATAAGATTTGGTTCAAGTAATATTTGAATCTCACATTATGTGTTAACATATATCCAGTTTTAAACATTCCATATCACATATTTGTAGTTTTTATTACATGCTTTTCGGTGGTTTATAGAAATATATCAGTGATATAAAACTGGTAATTTCACTGTTTGAAACAGTGAAATTACCACTTTGATAATTTCACTGTTTTGAATTTAAGCCCCTAACGTTGTTTCAGTGAAATACCAGCGTGCACAGTACTGGGTACCAGCTTAATGACGTGACGTCGTAAATGACGTCACGTTGTTTTATTATTTGGCGCGCTTTTCATTCAGTATTAGGTTTAATGTCTTTTTAAAACGTTTATTTGCATGTAATAAAAAGAAAATTTGTTTACTTTAGTGTAAGATCATAATATTTTTCACCTTGTGAACACCAAAAGTTCATATTTCACTTGTGGCTGCGCCACTCGTGAAATATACCTTTTGGTGCTCACTCGGTAAAATATATTCCGATCTTACACTGAACTAAACAAATATCCTCTATGTATTAATACATGTAGCAATTATATTCTGAAATAGTTTATAGAATTAGGCAATTAGAAAATATATGAATGCTTTATTTGAAACAACATTTCATTACCGTAAATGTAAATTATTGGCTGTATTAAATTTTGTGTAAGACAGTCATGAATGCTGTGGTTTAGGATTTTTGTTCTCATTCCTGATTTAAGATTTTTGTTTTCATTTCTACTTGAAAAATGGCATGTTAAATTTATTCAAGACTCAGTCGAATGAAAGACAACTCTTACAAGTATGTTTTTGTAAAGTTATGACCATCAAAAATATCAGTAGATTGGCATTAATTTATATTGAATTGACCTATAAGTGTATAAGCACATTGCCTTCATACTCTTTTTATTTTCTTTTTGAGTATTGAAGAAATTTGAACAAAGCTACACTTTATGAGTTTTTTTTTTTCTTTTGTTGATATGTATAATGCTTCTACATGTATAATAAACCAAGCATTTAGCTTGAAATGATATGTTTTAAGCATTACAAAGAAATATAATGTAGAAACATGGACAGAATATTGTAACTTTGTTATTTGAAAGCAGTTTACAAAGCAGAAGATATTTTATTTTTTGTTTTTATTTAACCTTAACCCTGTTAACAATGTGTAACTTGTTTGCCCTGCTTTGAATTTGGAAAATTTCATGAATAAGTTAATGGCGTTCTGGATTTTAGGTATGACCATCCAAACTCACCGCTGCCAATCTTGTAGCTTTTTGTCTGATTTCAACATTTTCTGCATTTTCCGTAAGCACAGCAATGATGTAATTGGGTAGCCAACGGTACTTCACAGATTTAAAGGTTGTCCTAGTGCTATACTGGTCAGCATTATTATTGTCATAAGCACAAAAAAAGAACTTCCAAGGAGATTAATATGTCTAAGCAAATTAATTTGTCTAAGTAATTAAAATCCAACATATACCATACCATAAACACTTGTTCTGATGTTGGTCATTCTCATTAGCCAGTGACTAAATTCTAAAGTTTCTTTGGCTTACTGTAAGATATAAGTGTGTCAGACATTGACCATCATTCCTGCCTGTGTCATGATGGATTGTATTGTAATATTAAAGGTTAAAATATCAGTATTTACATATAACAAACATGAAATCCATTTTTGTATATATCTGTATTATTTCTTAAATTAAATACAAGTTATGCAAGGTGTGTGTATAAATTTGGTCCATTTAGGTTTCAATATGACTGATATGATTTTGATAAAGGGGCTATAGCTAGTTTTTTTTCTTAAGAAATTATGGAACAATTGTATTTGTAAATAAAGCAGTTTGTAAACAGATAAATGCCTTGCTAAAAATGGCATCATGAAGACTAAAACAGTTTCCCTATAGGTACAGTTACTATAGCCCTCTAAAGAAGGTTCATATTATATTATATTGTTACTTTTTTACTGTAAATTTCGTGTTTTTCTACTTTTTTTTTGTTAAGTAACAGAGAAAGAAGGAAAACGGGGTATTTTTCTGCTTACTTAAGTAAAAATGTCCTTTCTTCTACTTAATTTATAAGTTTACAGTTATTAAAATTATGCCAGCTGTTTTGTTTAAATTCATGTTTTTAACTATTATGTAGATTAACGAAGTGTGTTTTAGATCTATATCATATTTGTTTACTTTTCCTATATTGAAGTCGTATCAGCAATTGACTTATTCTATTTACCTTTTCCCTTTTGGTTCTAATTTTGAACCCTCTCTTTACTTTAATTGAAGATATCAGAAAAAAAAATATTTTTTAGATATGTAGAAACAAAAGTAGTCACTGTGAAATCCAGGTGAAAATGATATTTTACGCAAATGTATTAGTGCTTATTATAGATGGTAATGAATTAAGTTTTTAGCAGATAATGTCTTCACAAATAAATCCATTTTGTTATATTGTTTATGTCTGCATTGTTGTTAAAGTTTGATAAAAGTAAATAATTTTTGGCAGCATATGCTCGGTTTTAAGTAAGTCATCAAAAGAAATGTGCCATGTTTTTTTGCTGAAGAAAAGTTATACAATATACTGTAAATAATTTATAATATATTAATTATATATATATTTTTTTATTATGTATATGTTACATGTTACAATGTAGTATGCTGGTTAAATGGCTAAGGTTACCAATAAGTTGTCTAAATACATGCAAGGTCAACTTAAAGCCAGTTGAGTTACTTTTCATTTCTTGAATAATCATATCTCTAGCACAATTAATTTGTTAAATCCTCTTGTTTTTAGCTCGACTATTCAAAGAATAGGGAGAGCTATTGTACTCAACACGGATCAACATCACCATCACATTAGTTAAGTTTTTCTGTGCAAGTGGTATCTTCAAAACTATTGAAGGGAATGGGTAAAAACTTTACACACTTGTTCTCTTTGATTATTTAACATCATGGGCATAGGTCCTATAACTCAGAAGTTACCTTTTTATGAAATTATGCCCCTATTCTTATTGTCAAGCACTGAGAAAAGTTAAGCTCCCTGTGTCACGGACGGACAGACTTTGTTTATTTACATTATGAGAGAAAAAACTTCATCTTTACTACAAACAATCAGAAAGTATATCAAAGGCATGTAAGGAGGAACAATTTTACCTAAACTTTTCAGCAGTTTTCTATGTATTTTTAAAGACTTTCTTTTCTATTTATGTCTGCATTTATTTCCATATTTTTACTGAAACCATTGTATACTGCATTGCATCATGTAATATTAAATGTGTTATTTATTATATTGTTTTGAATGGAGTAAATTTAAAATATGTTGGTCTTGAATTTACGCTATATTTCATATAGCATATGTGATATTTTAAGACACTCTCACGATGACTGCCCAGGTGTTTATATTTATGTTATAAATACATATTGAGGGATTATGAAATAAAAAATAAAGGATAATAATAGTTGTGTTTCTTTCATGGTAATTATGGCCCCCTTCAAAGAAGTGGAGGTATATTGCTTTGCATGTGTCGATTGGTCCATAGTGATCAATAACTAAAGAAGCAAGGCCGGAAACTTCCCAAAAAACCCCATTGTTTTGGGGCTTTAGGTCAAAGGTCAAGGGGTTTTTAAAAAATCATATAATACATAGTAAATAATTCCCAAGGGAAAAAAATCTAA